CTCAGCGTGATGTATGGAGTGGTTATGGTGGTTGTACTGGGATGCTTGGCGGTGCTGTGGCTCATTGCAAGGGCCCTAAGGACTCCCACGGCCACCGACTTCGCAGCGGGTCATGCCGCTGGCGGTGTCTTGGCGACGACGCTGAAGGAGGAGTAGTGCTTTCTGGGGACCTCAATTGTGACCCAACTTTGTTGCCTTCCACTGGGCCGGATGCTTGTAGATGCGTGGCCCGTGTGACACACGGGTCGCATTATACAGCATTGGCAGCATTGGCGTTTCTCGTTGTTGTGCTTGATGTCGGAATTATTATAATATGAACTTGTTGTAATGTTGTTGTTTAAAGCGCGTAGCAGAATTGGTCGGCTTTCGGTGCGTTTTTGGCTTTAGCGTTTCCGCCTTGCATTAAGAAGTAAATACGTCAGCTGTGAGTCTGCGAGTATGTATGTGCCCTCTGACTACCCTTAATTGTGTCGTGTGCTATCTCGCGTGGTCGTCCGCATTCCGCGGATGTTGTAGTAACGCCAACTGGGGGGAAAGTTGTTTATTGCCGCACAGCAGGGGGAACGGTGTGCACACACAGACACACACAGACGCACACAGACACACACACAGACACACACAGACACGTCAGGCGCGTGGTAGTGTCTTCCACACCAGCCCTTCCTCCCCCTTGGTCCATTCCTTCTCTCATATGTGCGTCCATATCTCTGTTGTAATTGTTCATGTTGTGCATTTTTATGCATTCCCGCGCCATGTGAGCGCAATCCTATTATGCGGAAAAGTACCCCGCTTATCGCTCTATCGTCTGACAGGAGCTTGTCAGCCGGGCTTGCTGAGCGCTTCTTCGAGGCGATGCCGGGGTTTAGGTTCGGAGTCGATGAGGGGTGGAGTTTGGCATCTTTTTCTTTGAGGGTGGGGCTTTGGATATTCAAGACATTCATAATGCGTCGGTGCGGGATGAACGGACGCCGTTGGGTTTTCGGTTGCTGTTGTGGCAGTGCGCTTGGTTGCTGCAGTTGGAGTTGTGGTGGGGTCCGAGGTGGGGGCCACGGCCGCTTGCTGGCCGGCTGGGGCCTGCCTGGCCAACAGCTGACGCGCTTCGGCATTTCCCGCGAACATAAACAATACACAACTTCGACATTGCATGACACGTGTTCGACATGTTTGCAATCTGATCTATTCAATGGCGTTAAACGACCTGCACGCACGCGCCATTTATATTCGATGGCCTTTGGATGCTGCACACGTCTTTGCACCACGAGTATTGCAAGTCGTGGTGCATAAATATATATGTGTGGTGATATGATGGAGGGCTAAGAAAAAGATGGCGCGCTAGGGAGTTCATCGTCCTCTGCACATTCGAGTTTCCTTTCCTGTCCCCTCTTCCTCATATATCGTGTTCTCCACCCTCTCAAAGCTCCACGTCGGCGGATATAAAATGTTGCCGTTACCCTCTTTGCTGTTATTTTTAATTTGAGATGGGGGAAGGTGCACGTGGCTCGGTGCTGTGTGTACCGCTTAAAAGGGGGCGGGCGGGTTATGGAGGAATTGCCTCAACGCATGCAAAAGGTGGCGGCAGTTGGTGATGCAGTGGTGTGGTGGTGCAGCGGCTGCGGCGGCACTTTTGGTGCGGCGACGCGCGAACTCGCCGCACGCCCCACGCCGCAGCTGCTTCGGTTTCTTGCGGCGCGCTCTGCGGGGTCACAAGTGATCTGCATGAACACACGGGCAAGGTGGCGGCGAGTGCGGCGGTGCTGCTGCGGCGTTGAAGCTTGAAAGATTTCCCTGACCATGCAACTAAATGCATGTGCCGTCTGTCTTTTTCTCCCCTTTTCTTCATGTGTCCAGGGCCGCCCACCGGCCTTCTTTGCCTGGGAGCGACCTGCTGCTGCCCCCGGTGTGGAAGGTGTGCCTTCTCCTAACAGCCTTGATGGTTTTTTTCCCTGTTTGCAGCCTACACTGACACATGCCTTGTCTTTCGTATGATAAGAGCTGCCAAATATGTTTTTCTCTGTGTCTGGTCATTCCTCCTTGGAGGAGGAAACCGGCTCTTTTAAAATCTATGTATCCTTTGTCTGCGGCACCTTTTTTCCTGGCGTACTCTTTTGGTTGTGCTTAAAAGTCCAGGTTGTGGAGGCGTGTACAGAGAAAAACAAAGTTCCTGACGGTTTTTGCTGCGAAAAGACATGCGAGATGGCTTTTCGGATGGTTTAATCCCTAAAATCTTGGATCCGGTCCAATCTTTCGGGCGGGATTCATTCATTCGGAAGCTTAGTCGGTTTTCTTTTCATTGTCGAGTCCCTGGGTCCCCTCTGATCCCGACCTCACATAATCGCCGCGATGTCCCGTGTAATGAGCATTTGCCGTTTGCTCATGCGGATGCGCCGGCGCCTTTGTTTGAGAGGTCAGGCATGGAGTCAACGGTAGGGCAGGCGGCGCATTAGACGGGCTGCTTGTACGGAAGAACGACAGGACGTGTTATGGACTAACCTGGCTAGGTGGCGGCTAGTCTAGGTGAAAAGATCCTCGCTGCCTTTGACAATATACGCGCATCTAGGAGCTGCTGTTGTTCCTTCCGTTCGTAGGAAAACCCTCGCATTGGGATGCTGATGGCGGCCAATGTGTCCTGATATCGTTTTTTTCCTGGGAGTGATGGCTGATAGTTCACTTGTCCTAAGTTCCTATTCCTATATATCAAATTCCTATCCATGTCCTTACAATCGACCTAATTAAACAAATAGCACGTATATGGTTGTGTATATGTATGAGAACCTTGTTGTACAGCATGCCAAGAGCAATGCCGTTTACATTGTCGTTGTGCTGTGCAGTGCGTGGAGACGGGGAAGAGAAAGACGACCACCACGCGGATAGATGGAGGGATGGATGGGCGTGCCGGGCATGGGTCACGTCCCCAAAGCCATTCCGAGATTATTGCGTGTGCTTACCGGCACCGGCAGGCGCCCATGCACCATACAATATGTATGTATACGTGAATAGATGTCGAATGTGACGGGAGACGCGCGACGTGCCGATCTGCCGTGTTTCAGTCCACGTGTTTCAGTTAAAACGCCTGTACGTCAACCCTCCCACAGCAATAGTGCTCACCCTCACCCTCACCGAGCAATCACCAACCAAAACCAGCCTCATCTGCGCATCTTCCTTCGGCGCATGGTCTGCCGTGTACTCCTCGCACCAAAAAAGACGGGGGAGATGGAAGTATGTATTGAATTGTTACAGAGTGGGAGGCTTCTGGGCCATTTGAACACATTGTCATTTCCGAGGGATCAGAGAAACCCACAGATTACTGACAGTCGGCCACTACCAGCCCCTGTCGCCTTTCAGAAGCTTCTCGGTCGGCCGTACATACACACACATACACACACGCACGTAGTCCACACCGTCAGGGCCCCTCGCACCAGCGAGACATTCCTTGTCTCCAACCCCTTTCCCCCTCCTCCCCCCCAACACAGCAAGCACCGTGCGAGATCACTCCGCCTTTTAAAGCCCACTACTGCGCACCTCCCGCAACATCACTGAGGGCCGGCCGGCAATTACCGCTTAACCGCCTGCCCGTACAGAAACAGATTCTTAAAAGTGGGCAGGATAGAGGTCGGCGGCAGGAACAGGCAGGCGAGCATGCATAGGTTACCTGTCGCATCTATACGGTACCTTCGCTCCAAAAGCACCGGGGGATACGTATGCACCGCGGTTCCCCTCCATTCTCCCCTTTCCTGGCCGCATCCCTACCGCCACGCTAGCAGCCATTTCCCCCTTCCCCCAGCGGGGAAGTCCCCGGGCCCGCCATCAGCAACCGTCCGCCGTCCCAACACTACTACGTCCGGGTGTACGGGGAGAGCCCATGTCATGCGGAACCTTCCAGTGCATCTACCTGTATGTATCGGTCCATCTATCTGTATGTCTGTCCTGCTGCTGGTTACTAAAGCCGTGTGATCCATCCTATTGCCGTCTACTTCAAAACCGACCCGGGTATGACACCAGCATCAGCAGCACCACCAGCATCAAAGTATACATAGCCTTTACCTTTTTAGCTTGTGGCGCTAAGAAGGCAGCACTTGGGACTCTATCTGGCTTGTATGGGTATTCGTTACACCTCTCTCTGGGTAACGCAACCGAGGTGTAACACACATACATTTACACACATAACCGTAAGCAGCAGAAGATCAACCATTACCAACCACTTAAACAGAAATCACTTGAAGCCATCACACACGCGTTGTAGGGCCCTCCGCAAATTAACTCCCTCACATTCCCCCCTGTCACTGGTAGGGGCCCTACGATGACGTAGAAACGGGTCCGTTCTCATTTTGCCGCGCGCCCCGCGCGAAATATGAGTCCACCATAGTTCGGTCCGCAAAATCCAGGAAGATAGTCCCACATGCACAGCCACGCTCGGACGCGAACTCTCCTTAACTTTAAAACTTGGGTATGGATGTCTGCATGTATGATGTGTGGGACAGGGGGGCATACCTTCGCCCGTGGCAGCTACCCGGCGAAACCCTGCCTTCCCCGGTATTGTTTTTAGGGGCACCCTCTTTCAGTCACCCTAGCCAACTTCTCAGTAGATCGCTCAGGTTCCGCACCCACCACCAGCATCCAACGGAATCTGCCGAATCGACGGTGGCTCAACTCCATTCCTGACCAGCTCGCAAGTCAACTTTATCCCAGGTCACCACCGTCCATCGACTAGGGGCACTTTACCTTCAACCATCGGAAGGATTTTCGACCCTAACAGGTCTGGATCACGGGATCTCCCGGGGGCATTGGTGCGTGCTCTACCAGTAATACCTGACCTATGCGTGTATGTATGTATGCATGTATGCCTGCTGGCCCCCCCCCACTGCCGCCACTCCGGCCCCGTCTTTTGCGGCCAACGGTACAGCAAACACACACAGGCCCCCCCACGCACACCTAGGTGAGATTCCGCAAACCTCAACGTTAAACGGAAAGGAGCCGAAGGCCGTTCGCTCGTCTTGCGCTCCTCAGCGCACATCGGGGTGGGGCCACCGTGCCGTGCCCTGCCGGTTCACACCCCGATCCTTCATGTCCCGCAGCCAGCTGTCGTACACTGCCGCGTCGGATTGGTCATCACTCCAGGAGAACTCCGTATCGCCGATGACAACGGACTCCCCCGTCTTGACCCCCCGAGCCCGCAACGCGCTGTTTATTCCGGAAACTTCCAGCACTCTTTGGAATCGTTTCACGGCTTCGTAATAGTCCCAGTTCGTCATCTGCGCGAAACGCTCAATGCCTTCGCCCTCCACATAAAACACTCGAGAGCCACCATCGCCGCCGCCTGCACCCGACGTCGACACCTCCTCCACGGACACAACAAACTCATCGATCCGCACATCGCGGCGTGCTGGCAGCGCCGTCTGGTTCAGCGCGTTGGTCTCGTACGACAGCGTCGCCGGGCCCAGCTCGTCCAGTACGGCTCGTACGGCCCGTACGAGCGCCGTCACGCCCTGGCCAGTTGCGGCAGATATGGGAAACAGCCGGTCCGGCGCCACGCCATACTCGTTTGTCAACTGATCCGCAACTAGCTCCCAAAAGTCCCCTGAATCCGGCGTGTCGATTTTGTTGTACGCCACAATCTGAGGTTTGTCTCGTAACCCCGGGTTAAAGAGCTCCAGCTCGAGATTGATCGCGTTGAAATCGCCAACTGGGTCGGGGCTGGTGCCGTCGATGACGTGGACCAGCACTCGGCAACGCTGCACGTGGCGAAGGAACTCGTGACCTAGCCCCAGCCCCTCGTGAGCGCCCTCAAGCAAACCCGGCACGTCCGCAAAGACGGTCGTACGGTAGTCCATTTCGCAAACGCCAAGATTCGGAACTAAGGTCGTGAACGGATAGTTGGCGATCTTGGGCCGTGCTGCAGTCACGACGGATAGAAGCGTGGACTTGCCGGCGTTAGGCACGCCGATGATGCCCACGTCCGCCACCACCTTGAGCTCGAGGTCTACCCAAAGCTCCTCACCCTTCTCCCCTTTCTCTGCAATGGTGGGTGCGCGGTCGCGCGCGGTTTTGAAAGAGAAGTTGCCGCGGCCGCCACGCCCACCAGCCGCCAGCAGCGCACGCTGGCCGGGGGTAATCAGCTCCGCCAGCGGCGGCTCGTCGGAGCCGGCGTCACGGCGGCGGACTATGGTTCCCAGCGGCACCTTCACCATCAGGTCCTCCGCGTCGGCGCCGTCGCAGTTGCTACCCTGGCCGTTGACGCCGTTGTCCGCGCGGAAATGCACCTGGCCGCGGAAGGTGGAGAGGGAGTTGAGGCCGTCGTCGGCGACAGCCCATACGTTCCCCCCTCGGCCACCGTTGCCGCCCGACGGCCCGCCGTGCTCGACGAACTTCTCCCGTCGGAACGCGACGCAGCCGTTGCCGCCGTCTCCGGCTTTGATGTAGATGCGTGACGTGTCGAAACAGCGCATCTCAGCGGGCAGGCGTTTGCGCTCCGGCGCGAGATCCATGCCGCCCGGACCCACATCGTCGTCTTCGAAGTCGTCAAACGCCTCAGCAGAAATGTCGTTGACATCAAAGGGCACTTCCCGAGGAGCGCTGCCTCCCGGGGCCCGCTTGGCCGGGCTGAAGATGTCGGCGGGTGGCGATGATGCCGCCTTGCGGGCAGCTTTCTTATTGTCTGCAACAGCCAGCAGCCGTTTGGACCAGTCGGAGCCGGAGGCGGGAGCGGAGGCTGCTGCTGGCTGCGTGGCGCGGCCGGCGGTGGTGCTTGCAAAGTCCCGGGGGCCACATGGGGCTGCAATTCCGCGGTAGGGCGTCACAGCGACAACGACAGGGCCCGAGACCAGCCGCCTCTTGGACGTCAAGTGTTGGCAGCTGTGGTAACCGGTTTGGAGCTGGTACAGGGAGGTCATTTGGACCTCGGTTCGCCTGGTGTGCACCGGCGTCTGCCTGCGTCCCGTACGCCAGGAGACTTATCTCCTTGCTGATCACAAACGTAATGCAAACGAATAAAAACGCAGCCCTAAGATGCCCTATGTCGATAAATTACTGGGCGCCGGGAGCGTACTTGCAGCCAGTTAGGAAACGGTCGGCGGCATCAAATGGCCAAAAAGGACGCCAAGCAAAGTTACAGATGTACTCATGTATATGACGAATTGGTCGATATTTGGGGTGGACGCCTACTAAAAATTAGGCCTTCACATGTTTGTATGATAATTCATGCCGTACTTGTGTATTTCCCAATAGACCTCGTGCCTCCAAGACTCTCATCGTAAACTTGCGGGTTACCGATATATTGTTTCACACGGGCTCTTGTTCGTGGCTCTGGCCGTTGGTTCTTGATGTGGTGCATACTTGGACCTATCTTCCGATGCGTTTGATCACCGTGCTTTCAGCCCTGCTACTGTTGCAACGAAATGTGTTTGTTTTGTACAGTATACCTCCTCAACAATCCCGATACAGGAGCACATTAGGCAAAGGCTTCCAATCAGACGCACCTAGTTAATCCACCATCATACTTTTCTCCGCTTGTCCACTCTGACAACCCAGCACACCCAGCATGCAGTGGTTGCCCTGCTCTGCATCCATCCATGACGCGGCAGTCACCACGGCCAGATTTGGCCATTCCGCTGTGTGCATCTCCGGCACCGGCTCCGTTTGGGGCACTGACCTGGTCGTCGTGTTTGGCGGTGTCAGTTACTCTGACGGCGAATCCCATCTGGAGCATCACACGGCGCTGGGCGATGTGACGGTGCTTCAGGCTGAGGCGGACATGTGGTTCACACCACAGGTGTCCTCTGCCCCTGGTGAGGGGGTGTGACCCAGATGAGATGTTGCTTTGGTTGGGAAGCCGGGAGCCGCTTTCCGTATTCTCCCGCAGCGCCCACCTAAATCTCCTCCACAATAGAAACTGAGTGGTGGAAGAGTTCAGTGGCGCAGAGAGCTCCCCGCGGGACCGAAAGAGCTTTAGCGAACTAGAGAAGTAGGGGATGAAGGAAAGAAGGAGCAGGAAGTCCGCGAAAACACCCACACGACGTGTCCTGACCCGGACGGAAGGCACACAGAGGGGACAGGACCGATGAAGAGGAACGATTCCTCGAAGGGGTTGGGGCAGCACAGTGATTCTGAAGTAACTCCCAACTCCATAACCCCCCCAGGTTCAGTCCAGGAGGGAGTGAAAGGCTAAGTCGACAGCTTTAGGGTTTTAGCCCCCTCCGCCAGTTACACACATAGATACATGCACACGCATATACACATACATACATACACTCGCTCCCATTTTCCCACATCTTTTTTTGGGGGTACCCGGGAACGGCCTTAGGGGCAGTGGACGGCGGCGGTGGCGACGGCGGGCTGCCGGAGCCGCGCGCCTTCCATTGCGCTGCTGCAGTAGACCGACGTATGTACGTCTTTGGCGGCCACGTCATGTCGTACGATCCCGTACTGAATAAGAAGCGACGCCGTTTCTTCAATGACCTATGGTGCCTGGACACGGTAAGGAGGGGCCTCCGAGAGTAGAGCTGGTTGCAGCCTCCCCCCCTCTCCCTTCCCTCTCTTCATCCGCCACCATCCCACCCACCCGCTGCACCAAGACCCCTCCCCAACCCCACCCAACCCAACTCACTGCAGGACACGTGGACGTGGCAGTGCCTGAGCGCCAATACGGGGGGGACGGCGGGGGGCGCTGTAGGAGCAGCAGCAGCAGCAGCAGCAGCGGGGGGCCCCGCAGGGGGAGATGGGTTTCCCCCCCGTCGTGACATGGCGACACTAACCCGCGCGGGCCCCTCGTGTCTGCTGCTGTTCGGGGGGAGGCTGGAGTCCGGGAGGGTGGCGGGGGACGCCTGGGTGCTGGATACGCACACGTGAGCGGATGGTTGGGGGTTGGTTGGGGGTTGGTTGGTTGCATCTGGCGGGGAAGTTCGAAAGGGGGACTGTACGCGTAGCAAGGCGGTTGGAGGCGCATGTGGTTGCGGGTGTTGGAGGGGGGGGGGAGTGTATTTGCAACATGTAAACTGGGGAGGGAGAGGGGGCGGGGGGGGGAGGGGGACGGGGGGGGGGAAAAGGGAGGAGGGGGACAGCAGGAATATGGTTAAGCTGCGTTGACCTGAATTGGGTTTTGCAATTTTGAGGGGTCCAGCAGAGCCACCGTGTCATTGCCGTCGTCATTGTCGTCTTAGCGCCTTCTCAACCAACTCAACCCCTCCCTCCCTCCCCCCCACCCCCCACCCCCCCACCCCCCCACACACACGCACACATGCACACAGACGCACCTGGAGCCAGCTACGAATCCCCGGACCCCTACCAGCCCCCCGGAAGATGCACGCTGCTGTGTATGTGAGTGCCCGGGTTTGGGTGGGTGGGTGGGTGGGAGGGGTGGGGGGACAGGTGAGATGAGGCGAAAAGGAGGGTTCGGGGGCGTCCCGGGCGGGGGATTGGATCTGGACCTGGATCTGGAAATTCGAACCGTGGGGAAATCCTGAACGTTTCGTCATCATAGCCATCAATCGTACAAGTTAATCATTTCGAGCAAAAGCAAACTTCCAAAGCTTCGAGGGACGAAATGTACTGTCTATATTTAAATAGATATATTATTCCGTTTAAATATATAGATGTTTGCCATATCAGAATAGAACGCACATGTACTTTTTTCCCGGATCTCACCCCGTACATTCGTACACTCGTACCTTCCGCTCCAATCCCCTCCTTCCCCTCCCCCACCTTTTCCCCACAGGTGACCAACCGTGTGGTTATCTTCGGAGGGGAGAGGGACTCTGGACTACTCGATGACCTGTGGACGCTGAAGGGTGCGGACGGCTCCGAAGCCGCCAAGTGGACCCAGATCAAGCTACGGCCCTCACCTTCTGGAAGATTCGGACACGGCATGGCGGGTGGGCTTTCGTATTTGTGTATGTATGTATGTATGTATGTACTTACTTATGTATGTATGTACATACGTACTTGTGTACGTATGTATGTTCCCCACTCTGAACCCCCGGCACCCGCGCTCACAACTTGTGAAAACACACCTTCCCTCCCCTCCCCTCCCCCCCGCTTCCCTCCCCCTCTCCTGTACGACCCATACACCCACCCCGATACACACGTGCAGCATGCGGAAGTCGACTTGCCGTATTCGGGGGGTGCTTGGATCACTCCTCTTTGCTGTCCTTCAGTCGTACATACGTACAGTGTAACGAGCTGTGGGTGCTGGATATGGCCACCTTCAGGTGATTGATTGGCTGACTGGCTGTGTTGTCTGTCTGTATATATATGTGTGTCTGTGTATGCATGTGTTTGCGTGCGTTACATTGTGCTCCTCTCCCCGTGGTTTGGGCCCCACAGCAGCTCCTTGGTGGTTTTGGCATGTATGCCCCCTCCCCCGCCCCTCTTCCCCTCTCCGCTCTCCCTCCTTGGCAGCAGCTTCATTCGTCCGCGGTTCGTCTTCTCCCCCTCCCCACCTCTCCTGAACACCGGCATTTCACTTCCCACTTTTTCGCATACAACTTCCCCGCCCCCTCAACCCCCTAATCCTGGAGTATCCGCCCACCTCTGGTATCTGCTTATCAATCATCTGTGGTTCGTCTTATTCCCTCCTCCCCCTTCTCCCCCTCCCCCTCCCCCTCCCCCCCTGCCGCCAGCTGGCATCGCGTTGAGGCACCCGAGGGGGTCACCCCCCTGACCGGTACGGCACTAGAGGACCCCCACCTACCTACACAACTGCAACAACAACTACAACAACTACAACTGCAGCAGGAAAGCGGTGTTCATGCAGGAACCCATCAGCAGCACCGCCACCAGCGGGAGGAGACGGCGCCGGGGGCCGCCGCGCCACTGGCATCCTTCAAATCTCACCAGCACCAGCACCCTCCTCCGCTTCTTCCGCTTCCGCTGGAGCGCATGTGCCATTCCGTGGTGGCGGTGGGCCCGAGTGACGTTGCGGGGCTGTGTCGGCTGCTGGTGGTGGGGGGCAGGAAGCGGGAGGGGATTTGCGGGGACGCCTGGTGGCTCATGATGGTGGGTACAACTGGAAATGGCCGGGGTGGGTGAGTGGGGGTTTAGACGGGGGTGGGTGGGGGGGGGCTGGAGGGGTGGAGGAGGGTAAGGCGAACCACTGACGATTGAAGGGGAGGGGAGGGGAGGGGGAAAAGGGGGGAGGGGAAGGGAGGGGAAGGAGAAGCCCCGGGGTAGGTGGGGGTGAAGGGACGTACACAGACGTACACAGACGTACATACCGGTTTATTCAAATCTCGTTGTTTGGAGACTGCCGTCGTCGTCACCCGTCAGGCCCTCCCCCACGAGCCGTCGGTAGGTAAGTCCTCCCCGTCCAGTCCTCCACCACCACCACCACCACCACCACGACGTTTGTTCGTACCTTGTCCGAAACCCACCCATTCACCCCTCCCCCCTCCCTCTCCCCCCCCTCTCGCAGGGTCCTGACAACCTAACTCCTGTCCTCACCGCACCCCAACCAGAGGACCTTGCCGCGGCCCTCACCGCCACCGCCGCACAAAGAGCCGTACAACAACAACGCGCCCACGCCGCGGCGTCGCCGCCGCCAGTGCCCCCCGCCGCCAGTACCGCCGCGGCGGCGGCGACGCCCTTGCTGCCCAACCCCACCCTCCTCTCAAACCTCCTTCGAAAGAGCGCACCGCCGTCGGCGGCGGTGGCAGCTGTGGCGGCGGCGGTCACACCACCCAGCGGCGACGGCAGCACTAGCAGCCTGCAGAGTAGCCTGGACGCCGTACAGACGGGCGCGGCAGCGTCGCCCCCTCTGGTTCCAGCGCCGACGGTTGGATCTCAACGCGTGGCGGCGTCAACATCTTCGGGATGTCTAAGCCAGGATCCAGCGGGTACGGCGGTGGGAGCGGGAATTGCCGTACAGCCGTCTGGCGCCAGCTTAATGGGCAGGCAGTCGCCGCAGGGACAGAACGGTGAGGTCGGCGGGAGGGAGCGGATGGCGGATAAGGCCTCTCAGGCCATCAACCGAATTACCAGACAGGTCAGCACGCTGCTGCGGAGTGACGCTGCCGCCGCCGCCGCCACGATGACAGCGCCTGCAGCAGCGGCAGCGGCGACGACGGCTGCTGCTGCTGCTACTGCTAACCTGTCGACGTCGCCGTCGGGCGGCAGGATCCTCGCGCGGCTATTTGACGGCGGTACGGCATCAGGGGCAGCGACCCGTGACGGCGGCGGTACGGCAATGCCGCCACCCGTCATCCATTCGACGTTGACCGCGAAAGGTACTGCCGGGTTGCCCGGGTGCTACTGCCAGTACACCCGGGTCCAGCCTCCCGTATCGCAAGTCGTGGACATGGGGATGCGTCTGCGGGAGGGGGAGGAGATGGGGGGGTGGGAAAGACGAACCACGTGAGAACGAGTGAAGCTGCTGCCACAAGGAAAGGGTGTACAAGAAGCCGAACTGACCAGTAGGCAGTTTTGAAGGCTGCGACCTCGGGATGATGTAATGATGATGACCGCGGAAACCTACCTACCTACCTAGCCGCCAAGACGAGGGGTGGGGTGGGGGAGGGGGCCGCGGTGTTACTCGTGTAGGTGGGGGTAGAGCTAATCGACGGAGGGAAGGGGGCGAGCTAGTTTAATTCCCTTCTTAACAACAATCGAAAACAAATTTAAGCCAGCCTGTATGGCACATACAGCTCTTCTGTGCAACTCCTCTCTTTAAGCGCTTCCCCCTCCATCTCTCCCCCCCCCCCGCCCTCTCCCCCACTTCCCCCCTCCCCACAGGTCCTCCGGAGACCGGTGGGGGTGGGGTCCCCCGCTCCCCCCTCCCCCCTCCTGCTGCTCCTCCCCTGCCTCCTTCCCCCACCCCCGCGGACGTGTATGGCTCCTGGGAGAACCTCCGCAGCGCTCTGGGGCTCATCGCACAGACTCCGTCTGGCTCCCTAGTCACCGCCCCCGCGGAGACCGCCTCCGCTTCCACCGCCACCGCCACCGCCAACAGCACCACCAGGAGGCAGGCAGTTGACGCGGCCGCGGCGCTGGCGGCGTTGGGGCGCCAGCTGGCCGTTGAGGAGGGCCCGACGGCGGTTGGTGCTGGGGGTTGGAGCGGGGTTGGAGCGGCGGCATCAGCTGGGAATGCCGCCGGGGCTGTGAGGGCGGCTCGGAGACATCTAGTCAGTTGCCCTGTGGAGCGGTTGACGGTTGGACAGTTGGAGCTGGTTTTGGCTGACTGCCAGGTAGGGTTGGACAGGGTGTGTGTGTGTGGGGGGGAGAAATGGCGCGTGTATGTATGTATGTGGGGGGTTTGGTTGTCTTTAGGAAGCGGAGAAGGGCGGCCTGACGGTGTTACGATTGGTAACTGTCGTACACACGGCGATGGCGTCGTGAACCTTTCCGGGGGTCCTAACCCCCCTTTTCCAGTGCGACCCCCCCTCCCACTCCCCACCCCCCCCGGTGGGCCCTGCGGGGTGGAGGAATTTCTTTCGCCGTCCATCGTGTCCTCCGACCCTCCTCCCCTTGAAGCCTCTCGTCCGATACGCCATACTTCGTTTTTTTGCCCCGCCTTTCTGCCGGGTTGGGCCCAACCAATATATATTTTCCACATTTTCATCATCACTATCATCATCATGTATGTTGTTGTTGTTGTCGTCATCATCACCATCATCATCATTACTACCATTATTATTGTCCTCAGGCTCTTCTGAAGTCTCGCACGACACGGCTGTGGGAACAACTCGAGCAGCAGCTTCAGAAACAGCAGCAGCAACAGCAGCACGCCACGACACAACAACAGACAGGGCCGAGCACCTTCACTACCACCACTGTTAGCGACAACGGCAATTGGAACAGCAGCAGTAGCCGCAGCAGTGGTGGTGGTGGTGGTGGCCGGAGCGACCCCGCGGGGAACGTAGACAGCACCGCTCTGACGTGTCTGGTGGCCTCCAGCTCGCACTGGCTGGTGGGGCTGAGCCCTGAGGAGTTGCGGCTGGGGGCGGTGGGCCGACTGGTGGGGACTTATGGCGAGCTACTGAAGGAGGCCGGGGAGGGGAGGAGCGGAGCTGGCGGCGGAGGCGGCATTGGGCTTGTAGGTGTGTAGATTTCCAGGTGTGGGGGCCGCTTGGGGGGGTGGGGGTTAATAGAGACCTAAAAGGCTGTATGGCGGGTAAAGAGTTGCGGGTTGGGGGAAGAGTTAGTATGTGTGTGTGGGAGGGGGAGGTATCAGGTGTGGAGAGGAAAGGGTAAATGGTGTGGTGGGTATAGCGGTGTCGGTTGTGGGTCGTTTAGTGGTGGGATACGCTTTTGTTTCTTAGGGGCCTGAGTTCATGGGGGCTAGGTTTGAGACGTCGTACAATAACGAGGGCAGGAGTTGAAGAGGTGCCGGAGATTGGGGGACTATTACCCCGTATGTATGTATGCGGGTTAAATGGTGTAATGAAAGGAAAAAGCAGCGAACGCGGACCATTTGCATTTTGTGGTTTGTGGTCTCGTGGTTTCCTTGTTTTTGGGCGTGGAGGACGTCTGAGCGGGTTGAAGCCAGACGAGGAGCCATCGTCCTAGGAAGGCCCTATGCCCGGGAGATTTCGAGTTCAGGTTTTTCACGTGTGCCTCAAGGCACTCATGCAGCACCACCGCCATTTGACTTTGGGGGCCAAGCGTAGTTTTGGGGAATAGACCGCAAACACCTCATCCAGTCTGCCTGTCTTCCCCTCCCCTTGGGGCCCCCAACATGCACGGCAGCGCCGCATGGACCCACATGTACCCCGCGGCTGCCGTGGACTCTCGCAAGTGCGGCTTAGGAAAGCAACCAGCCTCATGCGCCGCTATACGTGGCAAACGAAGCCAGACAATCATGGTCAGAGAATTAGCGTGATGGGTGTGGCGGGTTTGATGTAACCGGAGTGATGTAACCGGCAGTTGTTAGATAAGGACTAGAAAGACTGACCTTAGTAGAAAAAGGGAGGTTCCGATCACACATCTGCGGCCCCGGCCAAACCCCTAGTAGCACAGTGTGCGAGAGTTACAGAGTGCACAGTGTACATATCCAACCCCACATGTATGCCCGGGGAAACGCTCCACCATAGCCTGTACAGTACCCTAACATGTACGATGCAACCGAACACGACACCGCATATCATCATGGTGAATCTCAAGAAAACCCAAATCATTCGGTCGCAGCCTGTCTTTCTGCCTCGTACCAGTTCCCAGCAGTCTAGCCTTCGAAACTTGAAAAACCGTTTCCGGCCAGATTCGTAATATAGAACGATAGATAGAAAAAAATCGCATCACCTGAGCTTGCGCGGTCTAAACTTCTTCCTGCAGCGTTGCGACATTCGTCATCCTAACCAATAAGAGCAACCTGCAGCAGGGCTGCCCCCGAAACAACACAATTGAACAACAGTCGCTCGACGCCATCCTTATGCACCGAACTTGCCAACCGTTCCAGGCCCCCGTCATTTCATTCTCCTCCATTCTTCTGTGGATTGGGTTGCGATTTGGGTTTTGGGGTTTTACTCTTGCAATTTTGAAGTTATGCAAAGGACGAAAACGGGCTAAGGAAAAGAGTAAACAGTTGCGCGCGAGGCGGCCTCTAAACATTCTTTCAGCCCGAAAGACGACAGCTAGTCACTCCGCAATCGAACAGCCCTGCTAACAAACAAGTACTGACAACATGTCGCCCGTTTTCCCTTTTCCGTAGTTTTGCCCTCTTCAAACTCAGCCAATTGGCATTTCACACCAATCCAAGAACTGGCTGATAGCCAATACCATGCGGACAAACACGGCCGCGCACATTGGCCGTACAAGTCGCCACCGCAGAAGAATCCGACCAAATGAAACACCCAGACCCTTCCCTGCAATACATCATCCGTGTGCTGCACGTAGCGCGTTATCTGCCATCCAAACGGCCCCAACGGCGCCAGAAGGAAATACGTCCGCCAGGCCACACGTGACGCCATCATCCCAAGAATTTACGTGTTTACAGCCATCACACGCAATCACACGCGAATTGGGCACCATAATCAACAGCGCGCAACCCCGCTGCATGCCCGAGGTCTCCGGACGCCAGCCCCTCCCCTCTGCGAGCAGTCCAGGGGGCAGCAGCCCCAACGCTACTCAGCCGTAGCCGTCAGCGTGTGCCGGCACCTGAGGGGGCTCCTTCCCGTAGCAACTGCGCAAAGCCATGCATCACCTCCAGCCGGTGCGCTTGGAGCTCCGCTGCAGTCGGAGCTCTGATGCCGGGACGCCCGGTTGCCGCCGCCGCCGCCGCGGCAACAGCTGCTGGGCTACCATTCAGTCCTTCAGATGATGCGGTTGGGGCTGGTGACGCCGCCGCCGCTCCCCCTGCCGTGTTCGTGTTCAGCAGTGGCATCAGTGCAGTCCACAAGTTGTCGGCGCTCATGTTGCGGCCCACGACGAGGAAGGGAATACCCAGATTGGCGGCTGTCCTTTCGCCCTGCATGCGTTTTATGGAGGAAAACAAGGGGCGGGGGCCGGCATCAGCAAAAGGAGCTGGTGGGCTGGACAGCACACATCTCACATGGACCCAGATCGCGGCGTGAACGCCCGCAGCCCAACCCATCAGCAGCAGTAGCAAGAAGCCACACTCCGACCCACATCAGTCCAACCGCGAGGCCAGACCATGATGGAACAAGCGAGGCTGAGTTCAAAGCTGCCCTCTTGGGAGGCATTTAAGAGCGCCCTCGTGCGTGTGTAGGCTGTGCGTGTGCGTGTGTGTGTGTGTGTGAGACGCTACGCCGTAAAGCTTTGCTGCCTGGTACAGCAGGGTGAGGGACGCCGACGACTCAGCCCACCAGGACAGCTGCAACCCACCATGATACCACGAACCAAATCATTGACAGAAAGCAGCCGTGCCCAGATCTAGTAAGCAGCCGCGTTAACATCAGCAGGATGAGCAGAGAGCGTCTTGCGTGTCATATCTTTGTATGAAAGTGGTTAAGAGATAATACATACCTGCGCCAGGTTTACGTGCTTGCCTGACCTCGCCAGCTTGGTTGCTACCACGGCATCAGCACAACGCAGGTCGTCAACCACCCGCACGCGCTCCTCCAAGCCAAGCTGCTGTAGTAAGGATTGAGTCCGGGCCTCTTCCGCATTGAATAGAAAGACGCGGATGGGAGGAGTAGGCGGAGAAGAAGTGTAAGACACCGGGCCGCGGGCTTGCCCAGGAGCCGCTTGGCGGCGCTGTGAGGGTTGTGACGGACGATGCGATCCGTGAGCTTCGCTTCTGGTGAGGGTTGGTGGCATTGTTGAGGTTGTAGCTGAGCGAGCCTGGGGAGCTGTGTGGTGGCTGGAGCTGTTGTTGGAAGGTGCAAGTTGGCGGGGTTTCGGAGCTGGAACGGATTTGTCCTGGGTTGTGGAGGGCAGGGAGTGTGTAACGGGCTGGGGTGGTGCTTGGCGTGGCGGCGTGCCGAAGCCTTTGAAACCCGAGATGCTCACGACGGACTGCTTAGGCGTGGTTAGCGGGGTGCGAGGGGATGTGGAAGGAGAGTCATCACGGGCACTGGCGGGCGCTCTGCGCCGCTGGGGCGGGAGGGAATGCCGGCCAAATGTGCTGTCTTCTGGGTCCTCGAGCCAGTCTTCGTCATCACTGCCCAGCTCGACTTCAAGTTTAAAAGCCTCCCATATGCTATCGCGTTCGCTCTCTGTAATCTCATTAAAGAGTGTATCGTCGTCAACTGGTGGATGGGGTAGCCGTGTTTGCGTAGGCTGCTTGGTCGCTGGGGAGCCGATCGGCCGGGGGGTCGGCTGCTTGGTTGGCTCCTTTGCCTTGGTTAGCTTCTCCTGCTCTTTCCATTTTTGGTCATTTTGTGCAACTGGGTGGACAAGCTTTACTTTGCGGGCAGCTTTCTGTAAGACAAGGTCAAGCGGTGTTGCAATTGGCGGCTGAGAAGAAGAACTGGAACGGAAAGCTTTAGCAGGCGTTGCTTGGACATTAGATCGCTCTGGAATTGTCCTGCACCAGGGCCAAGAAAGCATTTCTGACTACGTCCTAGGGTTGGCAGACAACTAGGGTCAGCCCGCGATAGTATCAAGATTACATACTAGAAAAAGAACAACAGGACAAACATCAAAACCGTGCCTACACAATAATCCTCCGTCAGAGCAAACCAAAACTGTCACTTCGTACGGCAAGGGCTTCCGTCAGCACAACCGCTTGAAGAGGTCAAGGACGTGCGGTGGCATTAGTAAACCTAAATTGTCACCATATAATCACATAATTTGGAATACAATTCGCTCTCGTGTCGAAAGTTCTTCAGAACGAGTGTCCCAGTGAACGGAAACGCACAGCTTGAACATGGCTTCAATGAACCAAGCTGCAGGCCGTCTTGCGGTGCTGTCCCGGCAGCTGGCTGGGGCTCCAGAGGATGAGGCGGTGGCCCGGAACGACACAAGCGCGGAGGAAGAGCAGCGTCCAGCGCCCGGTGGTGGCCGCGGGACCTTGACTGTTGTAGATAATCGCTCAGGGAAGAAGTACACGGTACGTGGGTGGCTCTGTGAAGCGTGCTACTTCCCGCATCAACCCTGCTGTAAGACAACTGTCGGATGACAACCGCTGTGTCGCCTCGCAGCTGGAAATCTCGGATGGCGGCACTTTGAATGCCCAAGCCCTTAAGCAAATCAAGGCTGGCGGTGACGGCGTTGGCCTGCGGACCTATGACCCTGGGTAGGTCTCCGAATGGTCGTCTCGGTACATGACGCCGTTGTGTCGAACGTGCGGGGCGGGGGCAGACTGGATGGGTAGGTCTACGCACTGAATTGCATATTTAGTTTTTAATCTTGCATCTGGCTGTGCAGGTACACCAACACGGCTGCTGTTATTTCCCGGATTTCCTTCATTGATGGCGATAAGGGCATCCTGCGCTACCGTGGTTACCCGATTGAGGAGCTTGCAGCTAAGTCCAACATGATGGAGGTCGCCTACTTGGTTCTTTATGGAAATCTTCCGACGCAATCGCAGCTGGCCACTTTCCGAGAGGTGGGCATGAGCCTGTATGATTGGACTTGTTCAAACTAGATGTATGGTGCCCGTCAGGCCCAAAACGCATGCCACCGACACTGACATTCCTTTCCTGCAAGGATGGGCTCTAATCTAAAACCTGGCATCTAAACCTTTTAACTTTGGTCAAACATGTCCACTCCTTCACACTCATCCTTTGGCCTGTCCATTAATTCTTTTGCTCCTAACGTCCTTTCCTTCCTTCCCATCTTTTTCCTCCTGCCAGGCTGTCATGCGCCACTCTGCTCTTCCTACAGAGGTCGAGGCCGTCGTTGCCGCCATGCCTCACGATGCGCATCCGATGGGCGTTCTCATGACAGGCATCTGTGCGTTATCCACGATGCATCCAGAGGCGAACCCCGCTCTCGCTGGCGGCGGCATCTACAAGTCCAGGGAGGTCCAAGATAAGCAGATTGTACGGCTATTGGGCAAGGTAAAAGTGACGGTTTTGGTGGCGGGATGGAAGGTTTGGGCGCCGTGAAGTCGATGAATTGGGTTTTGCAGGGAAAATGCTTTTGAGAGGCCACTAGAGGGCTGGGATGCACAGCGTTTATGCGCTGGTGCAGAGTTTTGGGGACCTGAAGGAATATATGTACGTTAGCTTAAATGCTCGAAGTCCATTACCACCTTGCCAACATTTTCTCGCCACAGCTTCCAACAAAGTAAAACTGATAAAAGTGGTAATGGAAGATTGGATGCGCATGCTGCGGCTTGAATGCAACCGATGCCCTTACGGGTTGCGCTAGATGGGGGATCTTGCCAATCGGTCCCTCTCCCGCAGCAACTCCCACTAAAAATACCGTTGAGCTTCGTTGTCAGAGTCACAATTTCGTGACCATTTCCCGACTCAATACCGAAGTTTTTTACTCCAAATTACACATTGGCATGTGAATTAGATGCAGCGGTTGGCATTTCCTTTGCAGCCTGCGTACACGTTGCTCAAGCGTCGACCCAGGATGTTGCTGCTTATCACACATCTCTCCTCTCCTTTCGTCTCCTTTCGACCCGTCGTGTCGCCGTGTGCCAAAGTGCATCCCATTCAATCTTTGGATCCATTCCTCCTCAGGTCCCCACGCTGGCGGCGTTGGCCTACCATAAGAGCACGGGACGCAAAGCTGCACCGCCAAACCAGCGACTGGACTATGCCGAGAACTTCTTGTACATGTTGGATGGCGGGTACAACCCGTCGTACAGGCCCAACCCCAAGCTGGCCCGTGCGCTGGTGAGGCGCGCCGAGGGGGCCGAGGGTGCACGAGGGCCAGTTGGGAGACGAATGCTTATCGGGAGAGGCGGCATATCGGGAAGAGAGGGGCGACAGGGGATCGTAATTGATGATTCTGCGATAGTTGGTTGGTTGGCGGCAACGTGCGACTGTCAATATGCGTGCGACTGTACTGTACGTGTACTCTAGTGTGCAGCATCCTGCAGCGGCGGCCTAAGCCCCTTCGTGGCGTTTACGGTCGCGAGATTCTGCAATATCGCACAATGTCGAATTACTCTCCCTTCCTCTCTTTTTGCCTCTTTCTTAACAGGACATTATGTTCATCCTGCACGCCGAGCACGAAATGAACTGCTCGACTGCAGCAGTGCGCCACTTGGCGTCATCCGGTGTGGACGTGTACACGGCGGTGGCGGGTGCGGTGGGGGCGCTGTACGGCCCCCTGCACGGAGGCGCCAACGAGGCAGTCCTGCGTATGTTGGCCCGCATTGGCACGGTGAGTGGGTGATGGAAGGAGGGTTCTTGGAGGGTTTTGATGCTCTTAGGTGCAGGTGTCGTTTCGCTTAGATGTTGTTTTGCCTTGTAGATTTGGATTTGGATGTGTTGTAGGGAAGGGGGCATTCGTTGGGTTTCGGGTTGAAGCTCTCCGTGCAGGTTTTGGAATGAGGGGGAAAGGCCCGGAAGTTTGGCGTGGCGGGCTGTGTATGTGGGTGTGAGTGGGGGGTAGTTTGGCATGATTGAGTCGGGTTGGGCGGTGAGAGATGCATTTTGGCATGATGACGGGCTGTGTAGGACACGGTCCCGGTGAGGTGGGAGGGGGGTTTCCTTTTTGGATATCTAACTTAAGACAACTTGTCTTAAGTTCCTTACCGGCTGGGCCGCCCGTGTGTCTTTAGGATGGTACGAACTGTACGGGAGAAGACTAGATGTTTAGCATGCAATTGCAAAGAGCACTTGCTGGGTTGCAGGATAGCGACGAGGGTGGAGCGGCTTGGTCCTTTCTTCCCTGCCTTCGTTGTCGCAACGCCTCAACGTCCCTGCCAAACGTGTCGTACATGCCAATTGGACCTTCCGTACCAGGTGGACGCCATTCCGGCCTTCATCGCGGGGGTGAAGAGTAAGAAGGAGAAGCTTTTTGGCTTTGGTCACCGCGTGTATCGCAACTTCGACCCGCGAGCCATCATCATTAAGGAGGTGGCGGAGAAGGAGGTGTTCCCGCTGGTCGGTGTGGATCCACTGATCGAGGTGGCCAAGGCGTTGCAGGTGGGGCGAGACAGGCACACAGACTTAATTGGGGCGTGTGTTGTGTGTGTGTGTGTAAGGCGGGATGTCCAGGACGGCATTCGACGTCGAGGTAGGGTGGACATGTGGACATGTGGCGGAGATTATCTTGTTGTTGAGGATATTTTTTTAAGTTCAATCACAACTTGCCTTCTCCTCCGTGGCTCTCGTTGCTGTTGGTTGGCGAAACAGTGAAGACGATGAAAAGGAGAAGGCGTTTCGGAGCACCATCCCATACTGCACTACCTGTGATGTGATCATTTTTGCCTGATGCTGCCCGGCTGCCAGGACGCCGCTCTTTCGGACGAGTACTTTGTGAGTCGCAAGTTGTACCCCAACGTGGACTTCTATTCCGGGTTGGTGTATCGAGCGTTGGGCTTCCCGCCGCAGTTCTTCACCGTCCTCTTCGCCATCCCGCGGTGAGTCTTGAATATTATTATTGCTTATTATTACTTAGGGTACTATATATCATTCTAATACTTATTTTACTAGGTAGCTTTTGGGACGGCTGAGCGAGGGGTGCGGTGGAGGCTATATGATGTATGGTGAAGTCTTGCATCGTATGTGCCTGGTCGTGCGGGGTTGCTCGCCATGGGCAAAACAATGCCTGTGGTCGCCTGCCTCGCCTTGTGGCGATTCATTTTCCGGTATCTCGTGTTTAAAACAGGAAGCGTAGCTCCGATTTGGTGATATATAACCCCGTGTATCTTGCTTTCTCAAATTTCATGTTCAACTCGCTTTTCATTGCTTTTCATCTCTCACTTTTGTAACCTTGCTTTCCTCGGCCCCCCATCTCGTCCCACTCGGCTGACGTGTCTCTCCCGCCGCATTCGATTCCCCGTTCCTGCTCCCGGTACCCCGCGTACTTCTTACTACCCACAGCATTGTGGGCTACTGCGCCCATTGGCGTGAGTCTCTGGTGGATCCGGACACGAAGATCATCCGGCCCCAGCAGGACTACAAGGGTGTCTGGCTGCGACACTACAAGGACACGGCGGCGCGCACCGCGGAGGGTGAGTGGCCGGGCGTTGGTCGTGGTGTAGATGTAGATATATTGCAGGATGTGAAAAGTGTTGGTCAATAATGGTGGGGGGGAAAAGGGGTTTTTGCAAGGAATGTTCGCCTGCAGGAGTATTATTTCACAAGATGGCTGAGCATCCATTATTGGGCGCCTCTGGAGGGCTTTTTTTCTTTTCCTTTCCGGCTTCACCTCTGTGTAACGGTCTGCTGCGAGTCTGATGGAGCTCTTTTTTTGTTTCTCCCTCTTCTTCCTCGTGTTAGGTTCCGACACGTTGGCGAAGCTGCCACCCTCGAACGCCTACAACCGCCGCGTTGCCGGGGATAACTGGCAATGAAGTGGTCGCGATGGTCGGTGACAGGGCCCGGCTTTGACGCAATGCCGCAAGGCTTTGTGTGCCCGTGCTTTGTGCTTGCGTCGCGACGATGCTGGACATGGTCGGCATGCTGCTGCTGCGGCGGCGGTGGCGGCGAGCTTGGGGGCGTTAGATCTTGTGACCAGGGTTGCTATCGCTGGCCACATTATGCCGCCGGCGGCGCTTTCGTGTTCGTCCTCTTGCTCGGTTCGTTCCTTATGCAGAGGAATGTCGCGTTTTGCATTCGCGGGGCCAACCGGCGCTTTGTGACGGTGGTCGCTGTCTGCTGCATTCAGCTGCGGATTTGAGGGGGGGTTTGCGGATGTGGGTCGCCCTATGTGGGGTGCTCTAGCGGATGATGTGGAACAGTGTTGCGCTGCATGTTTCAAGGCTTGTGTTGGTGTCATTGTTCCGGTTATAGGCTGTGCTGAAGCAAGATATTATTTGTATGGGTGAACTTACATTTTCAATGTCTAGCTCTGGTGTCATGTGCAGTTTCTTGCTTTAAGTTTTGAGCCCTGGTGTTGCGTTGGTGAAACCCTGGCAATCTGTAGGGCTAGTTTGGTTTGGTAGTTTTGCTGTGACCTACCGGATTACTACTGCTATTGGCGAAGGTGGTGATGTGCAGTTTACCAGGCCAGCAGATTTGGGGCATGTGATGTGTGTTAAGCTGTGGCTTGGAGTCGGCGTTGTGCTTTAATAATAGGAGTTTGCGCTGTCACTTTTTTTATTTAAAAAACTAAACAGCATCGTTGGTCGATCTCCAATGACTGCCGTTTTGACTGTATTGGGGAACCTCTCCTGTTTAGGAGCACACCCGGTTTGCTGACAGCCATGGCAGCAGATGGGCAAGTCGGTGGTTTGCGGTATTTTGCCTCTCAGCATGCTCGCCTACGTGCTGTGCATGGTAGTAGGGTTGGGATTGGCTGAATTATCACCTGTGTGCGCCAATTATGTTTCTTTATTAAGAATGCGTGGCTCTTTGCCGTCTTTACAACGTTCGGATGACATTATCAAGCGTTACACTTCTTTGCAATGCATTATGGTTGCGGCGTAGTATTCTTTGCGGTACTGACGATGTAACAATTTGACACGGTACCAGAAGCCCCTTTGTTACTTGTCGTCCCGCCGAATTGCGCTGGTGTTGAGTCGCTGGCTGAGGTGTCGTACCTGACGGTCGACTGCTGCTGCTGTTTGCCTGGCTGGGAGGACGTCCGGCAGCTTTAGGGCAAGCGTCCGGCAGCCGTACGGCGGTAGCGGCGCCAGCACGGCCGGCCACGGGCGAGCAGCAGCAGCAGCAGCAGGCTTAACTGTGCGTGTGGTTGTTACACTGGGCTCCAGACTCACATGCATGACGGAGTACCGAAGTGCTGCTAGCCAAGCTCCTGCACTGTGCACGTACATACATACGCACGCCAAAGATAGGTCTGCTGCTGCTGTCGCGACCTCCGAAGTGTTTCGGCGCCTATGGGACCCCGGCGGTCTAATTCTCCCAGCCACTCGCTGATATTGACACACTGTAGGAGGTAGTAGCTGCCCCGCCAGCCGCCGAAAAGGCCTCTCTCGAGATGCTGTCGGAACGCGCCCTATCTAGCGCGTCCACGTATTGATGGCGTATATTGTGCCGTGCTGTGCAACAGGTACATTAACATTACAACACGTAATGCTGATGAGGTACAGCTGCAGCAAAGCGCCACCAAGAAGCTGAAGACCACTGTATTCCATTTTCCCTAGCGGTTGCAGCAGCAGCAGCAGTAGCTAAAAATAAATATATTTTATCTACACCGCATATCTACCGCACTAGCTGCTAGGAAAAAAATGAGGGCGCTCTCGGAAGGAATGAAGGAAGAACCCTTTATTATCAATTTAAACCGGCACAATAAATGATTGTGGTACTATGACCAAGGTACTCTCTCCGCCTAAGTTCCTTCCGTCCGAAAGAGCTCCAGCTCCCCTGTCCCCTGTGCCGCCTGATTAGCCGCCCGTGCTCGCGCATCCCGCAGCCCCAGCGGCCCCAGCAGCAGCCCCTCCTCCACCGCATACCCGTGCAGCCGCCCCGCCGCGCCCGCTGCACGGTAGGCGGACGTGTCCCCCAGCAGGGAGGCGGCGTGGCGCAGCATGGCCAGGAGGGAACCGGGGCTACAGATGTACGGCAGCGGGGGGAGGGGAAGGCGTGCAGGGGGGTCTTTGAGGGGGGACAGGACTTTATATGGAGGGGTTCAAATACCGCATCATGTCCCGGGCCCCCGGGTTAATGATGTGCGGTGTGGGTGTGTGTGGGGGGGTGGGGAAGGGGGGAAGGGGGTTTGTGCGGTGTGGGTTTGTGGGTGTGTGGATGTGGAGGGTTTGTGCGGTGTGGGTGTGGGTGCGTGTGTGTATGGCTCATCCCGTACATTTGTTTTGCGCCACCAGTCGCACCAAACACTCCCCCGGAGGAGGAAGAGGTTGATAGGGGGTCCCACATAACATTGTTGGCCCGCTTCCAACCTCCTCCTCAGTGCCCGCGCCTTTCCCCTTCCTACATCCCCCCCCGTCCCTGTCCCGGTATTTCCACCCGGACAACCCTTCATCCCCTCACCCCTTCATCGCCATCACACAATCCCCAAAACCCAGCCTCAGCATTCCCCTTAACAGTGCCCCTCTTAACCATCTTCAGTACCCAATCAACCCGCCCGCAAGCCAGCCAGCCAGCCAGCCCACCCGCCCCGTCCGCTTACCGCAGCGCGACATGTTGGTCTCGCACCAGCAACTCCTCGGGAGAGTACCTGGGCGCCGACTTGCGTTGCGAGGGGTGGGCGGCGGCCTGCAGGGCCGGGGGCTCCAGGGCGGCCCGGGCTGCCGCCAGCTGGTGCTGGTAGTCCGGAGGGGCGCACTGGGCGGGGTCCTCCACGTTGTAGGCGAAGAAGCGTATCGAGTCGGCGGACTCAGAGCCTGAAGTGGAGAGGGCGAGGGAGGTGGAGAGGGCGAGAGGGAGGTGGAGAGGGCGAGAGGGAGGTGGAGAGGGCGAGGACAGGGTACGCGGAGCCAGCAAAAGGGGGTTGGCGGGTTTAGAGGTTTTATGTTGCCGGAATGGAGTGGAGCGAAGTGGACTGTAGTTCCCCCCAATTGGGTGATGTGCTACAGGAGGAGGATCCCTGATAACCTGACTCTCCCCCCCACCCTTTCCACACACACACGCGCTTCCCCCCCACCCTTTCCACACACACACGCGCTTCCCCCCCACCTGCCACCAGCCGAATTCAGGACTTCATAATGCTTATCTTGACATGAAGTGGGAGCCGCCCTGGGGCCCAGGCAGTGAAGTAACCCACCGACCCACCGGCCCACCTCATTGATACCCACCTCCGCCGGGCGGAAGCAGCTGAGCTGCCATCGCATCGCCGTCCCCATCCGCACGATGGGAATGCTCCGAGCCCCAGCCGCATGGCCGCACTTCCACAAACCCAGATCCGCCACGACCCAGATCCGGATCCATGAAAAAAGCATGAGCACCAATGGAGCCAACCGCCGCAACGAACAGGTGGGCCGAGCGTACGGCACCCAGTGCGGAACGGAAGGCCGCGACGGCCGGGCTGGCGGGGTTGACCGTACCAGTGGCGGGTGTGTATGTGGTGTGGGGAGAGGAGGGCAGGGCCTTGCAGATGATTCGTGTGAAGGGCCCGGCCGTGAAGCCTGCGGGGTGGCAGGCGAGAGGAAAGGGGCGGGGATTAAGCGTGTCGCATGATGGCGGTGTTTAGGGGGGTTCAGAGCCGGGTGAAATGAGGGAACGAGGGCAACGCAGGGCCTGTGCAGTGCGCCGTGCTTAGGTGGTGTGGTGCTCGGAGACGAAGGGACGATGAGCAAACGACCAAGGGAGGCGGGGGGTGGGGGGTGGGGTGGGGAAGACGAACCACGAGCGAGTGAAGCTGATGCCAAGGAAAGAGTGATGGGGGCGGGGGGTGGGGGAAAGGCTGCTGTGATAGGGAGGTGCTCGGGGCCAAGAAGCAGTCTGCTCAATCAATTGGAACCCTTCCGTTCGACCCGCTGCACCGACGGGGCCGGGGGGCGGGGGGCTCTCCGGGGCCTCAGTGCCCCGCAGGGGGACCAAACCTCGACACCTGCCCAGATATCCTCATCACCTACCTCTGCCCTTAACCCCGTTACATGCACCTCTCCCCAACCCACTCCCAGACCCTTACAGCCCCCTACAACCCAAACAGACGACACCCTTAACCCTAAAGGGGTTTCCGCCCCCCTCAACACACCTCCCCACAAGGCCCCCAAACAAGGCCCCCAACCCCCCACCCCACCCCACCCCCATACCACCTAACCCACCCACCCCTAGCGTCCGCCTCCTTGCAAGCTTGCAGCAGGGCCATGACGTTGCGAATGGTGCGCCAAGGAGCAGAACGCTCCTCAATCACAACACGTAACACATGGGGTGAATCGCTCACTTCCGCTCCGAAACCAAACGGATCGACGGGTACGGCACTGCCCAGGTGCGATAGTACGGCAGCTGCGGCCACCTGGGGCGATGCTCTGTCCTGATGGTCCAGCTTGCAAGCCACCAGCTGATGACGAGCCATAGTACAGGAGTTGTCGTACACGAGTTGCCATACGAGTGGTTAGGGCCGTGACGTCGTACACGTGGGGTTCCGGAGCCAAGCAGATGGGGGAGGGAGGATGGCATGTACAAGCGGGAAGAGGCCGCGGTGGGAGGAGAGGGAGGAAAGGGAGGAGAGGGAGGAAAGGGAGGAGAGGGAGGAAAGGGAGGAGAGCGACGCGGCGGTTATAGCGGTTATGGTGGTCGTTGGGGATTGGAGATTTTTGAGAGGGAGGGATGTGGATGGGCGCGATACGGGGTGGTGGTGGTGGTGGTGGTGGTGGTGGTGAGGAGGAGGAGGAGGCCCCTCTGCCTTCCCACTCCTTTCCCACCCCCTTGCCCTCCCTTCCGCGTTCCATACATGCATACATACACACATACACCTACCTACCTACCTACCCACCTACCTACCCATACCCAGTAATGCCGGACTGTCTCATCCCCTGATCTCCCGCAATCATCACCGTCTGCCAAGTGAGCAGACAGACCAAAACCTAGGCAGCCAGGCAGCCAAGCAAGTAGTACTACAGATTAGCACTTAGGCAGGCAGGCAGGACAGCATCACAGCGTACACATACGTATACATACACACATACATACACACGCGTACAGCCACCACACAGTATAAATGGCAGCTCAGGGGGACCCAAGTGCGAAACACAACCGATCCACACATGCATGGAGCCCACCCACCCCCCACCCCACCCGGGGACATTCCCTTTCTCCCGGGGAACGTTTTGGCGGGCTCCGGTTTCGGAGCCCGTCCTCAGTTACATCGGGCCCCTTCCCCCCTTGGGGACCACTGAGCCGCCTCCACCACCGCCACACAAGCGCCCCTGCGCCCACTCGTACAATACCATCCGTTCATAATCCCAACTAACCCAACCGTTCCAACCGTAAAAAGTACCTCCGAGAAGCAGTGCACACGCGTGCCCTCCCCCGACCACTCCGCGGCGGATCCCTCCATGCCACGACGACCCAGCTCAGCTAGCGTTATTAAGGGATAACGGCTGTACGGTGACAGCAGTACGGCATGGTACGGCTCCAGCGCGAGTCCGGCGGGCGTCGCCAGTACGAGGGTCGCGTCATTTCCTGCGGGATGTTAGGGGCGTTAGGGGTTTTCCGGGGGGGAAGGGGGAAAGTGACGTTGCCCTGATTCTCTTTTTCTCCTCTTGTGAGTGAATGTTTACCTGGTGCCAAGCCGCTGATTCGCATTATCCTGTCGACTTGTGAGAGCGCCTTTACCACAAAGGTCCTGTAGTTGTATGGGTAATCCAAATACAGTACGACCGGTAAGGTGCAGTTGGACCAACGCGGATGCCGTAAGGGCAGCGTGGGTTCCACTTTGCTGGACGGTCGGACGTGTATGGCGAAGTCTGGTTGCCAGCCGCCAAGCGCGTCGGGAAAAGCGCTCAATCGCAGCGGCAGATTCCAACGAATGTCCGGCAGCTGCGGTGTGTTTTCGCGCCGGACGTTATCAATTTGGTATCGATCTTCATGGAGGACAATCCTGGAGCCATGATCAACGCAGACTGAGCTAAAGGTGCTGCAGTAGCCAGGCACTGCCCCGCGATTCCATTGTACCGGAGCACACTGTTGCGCTTTCACGACGTGTAAAAACAATGGTTTGTAAAATGATTCCAGATTTAAGATGAAAAATAACGCAGCCGCTAATAACAATGGCAATCTAGTTATATCCTGGACTACCATCACTGCCAAATAGTTACAAAAGTATTTGACGGCAGTCCAAACCTTAATAGATTGACATGTTATTTGTGTTTATATCCATGTCACCAACATTAACCATGAAAGGGAAACCGAAGCGAAGCGTAACTTTCGACAAGTCGTTTCTTCTAATAGTTGGCCAGCTGCAAAATGAAGAGATCGCTAGTAACCTTCTCTGTTGCAGACCTGTAGCGACAACATCCGGGTGTTTTGCGTGTTCGGAGTTAACCTCCGAACGTACGGCATTCTGGATGACAGAGAAACACGCCTCGGGATGCCACCAGTGCAACCCAACGTCTCCAAATCCAAAACTGAATCTCCAAAAAGGTTACCTCCCCCAAAACAATTGTGCTGCGAAAAGCATGCTAAGCACGCCTACGACAACACGCGCAAAAAGAACCCAGCAGCAATCTTCAAATCGTCCCCGCCAACCCCAGCTCGGCTTCCATCGCCTTAATATCCGCCACCAGCGCCTCCCCAGCCCGCTGGCCCATAGCCGCTTCCTGCTCATACCCCCAAAGCACCTCCCAGCCGTACTCCTCGCCGTACCTGCCGTTTACACACATACGTGCACACATACACGCCGGCTCGCTTTATTAGGATGCGTCAGGATGCTGATCTGTCACCAAAGGATTCCCATTGCCGCAATTTGAGCCGATCTGCGGAACTGTCAGGCCATATGGCGTGCTAACAGACACAAGAAATGCGGACGGATCACTCACATCGCGTCTGTGCACCGTGCATGTGCCTAGAGTACTATAAACATCTTGACACATGTTGACACTTGCGACGCAGCGTTTACTATAAAATAATAGTGACGCAGCAAAGTAAAGGTTGCGGGATGCGGCATATAGATTGTAGTGGTGTGTTATCTGAACCATTGCATGGTAGCAAATGATGTAAACAGCAACGTTGCATGAAAACCGGTTGCCGGCGAGCTCGTTTAGGACGAGAGGAAATGAGGAAGGAATGAGAGGAATGCAAAGACAACTTTTTTGGGGGCAAAAAGTCGACGTCTTTACCGTAACGGTGTGCTTAAAAAAAAGCTGTTGGCAACAATTATTTATTTGGACAGACAACCAACCAACCACCTGTACTGCAGGGCCCACCATACCGTTGGATGAGAGGCACTGCCACCTCCTCCACCATCTGCTTTCCGTGCCGCTCGTCCTCTCGTACATGCAGCTCCCAATAACCCCAGCCGCTGGCCGGAAGGCCCAACCGCTGCGCCGCGGTGCAGTACGTACGGTACACAGATGGCCCGTTTACCTATGATGTACGGAAGGATGTGTACGACATGTCGTCAGGAGGCGTATGGCCACAATTTCACGAAAAAATGCTACACATCTAGATGTCGATTATTTCAATCAAAAAGTTGTAACTTGTTTGCATTCTACTGATCGTAGGACAAGCAAGAAAGAGTTCGCAAAGTGTTAAACATTTAAATTTTAAAGGTTCACAGTTTCAAATTCAAAGCAGAACGTCACGCCACACAACGAAATGTACGACAAGTCCGCGAATGCCGTACCTCGAAGTACGTCAGTCCTCCCAGGTAACGCAGGTAGTGGCGGCGGCGCTCCGTTAGCAAGAAGTTGTGATTTGCGCTTGCCAGCCACTGCACCGACCAGCCGTGGTGGTAACAGTTATTATTGATTGGGTACTTGCCGTACAGTCCGTCCGTACGCAACCATCACAGACAACATGCTGAACGGCACTCTGACGGCGTCACCGCATGCATGTATGTATGTATGTATGCTTCAGCGAAAAGAAGAAATTGGAACCATATCATATCATGCCATATCGTCATTTTTTCACTCACCCCTTCCTTTCCCGTCCTCGTAATGCTTTACCCTACCTGCCAAGGCACCAGATCAAAGTAGGCTTCAGGACGGGTGTCCAAACCCAGCTGCGACATCATTGAATAGTAGAACGTCGAATGCTTGCGTGGCAATTTGCCATTGCCGTACTCCTGTACGGCAAGTCGTACATGTATGTAGCATACCGCACACATACAGAGGCCAACAGGTATCAAAATACGAGAACATATGAACATGCATACATATATATCCCCCCAGTTGAAGATGTTGATATTCATCCGTTAGTTCCTAATGCGTGGTGTTGGAATTTGCCTCTGTGGGGAAATCCTGTTCTTCCAGAAAAGAGGTTGAATATCCCGTCAGATAACATCCGCCCGGGACTGGAATTTCGACACCAAGCACTCCTGGGCTGTAAAGCATTGAATACGTTGGGAGATGTTCTTGGTGCGCGCGATGCTTTGGATGGGGTTATGCATGCAACGAACCAGGCAGGCCTAAGCAATATGCAAGGCTTGGCATCAAATAGTGCACCAATACCTCCAACCGCGGACCCCACTAGCTAAATACCTGTGCACTTTTCGTAAATGGCAGGAATGTATGGATGCTTTTGTCGCTCTCTTAGCTGATATGGAGACAGGCGGCTAGTCTTTTGTTGCCTCTTGAGTGTAGAATCTAGGGAAGCGATGGTGCCCTCCATTGAGTCGGTTACCCAAACCCTAGTGTCGAGGCTTGGTTGGAGATGGGGTGTAGGGCCTCCAATCAGATTTCAAAATTTATCCGTTAAATTAGCGACTAATATGCAACTTTCACCATTTTCTATGGCTCGCCGTGTGGCTCACATCCTCTTCATCAAAGAGGCGACGGGCTCTTCTGAGGTACTGGATGAAGCTATCCTTATTCTGCAACGGACCTTCCATCGTTTATGGTCTCATTTACGATGGGAAAATGAACAAAAAGAGGTTTGGTGGCGTCTCACGGTTGATGGGGTGCCTATGTTCGGAAGTTCCCATCTCAGGATGTCGCAGCCAGCAGTGTGTGGTTGTGGAGGTTATCCAGTTGGTTCCCAGGGAGGGGTATCCCTTCGTTGTCATCACTTCTGGGCCTGTCCGGTGGCACATGCAGTAGCAGATCAACTCACTCTTTCAATAGGATTGCCAGTCTCAAGGGAGCAACTTTGGCTTGTCCAGGCCCCACAAACAGTGCAACAATGTGTTTGGGATGTGGTAGCTCTTGCTGCGGTGTCAGCCATGGAGCATGGGAGACGTTATATGGCTGCAAACATGAAGACCAACCCGGCACTGTTACCTGGCCCTTCCCTTACGGAAGGAGCCATTTGTCGAGTTATTGTTGACTTTTGGGGCCGCCTTCAGGGTTTTGCAGCTCTGGAAATTCCACGGAAAGGTTGGGATTCTGTTGGCGCACATCACCCTTTCTTGAGAATTATATCAGGCAAATTGATATGCTCACGGGAGCGGTCACCGATGAACGGTTAGTTATCTCGGTGATGATCTAATTTGTATATTACTCTCTACTGCAGTGCACGGCCAGCTGGCCCGATGGCTCTACTCTTCGTGAGTCTGGAGCCCACTGTAACAACCACACCCGTAGCTTAACTGGTAAAGCACCACCTTAACCGGTGGGAGTTGTGGGTTCGAATCCCACCGGCGTCACCATGGGTTGTGAGACTTGTGCACTGAAATGTATCAGCATATCTGAGGCATTCCTCAGGGCAACCCGTGGTGTATGTGATGACAAGTCCATCACCAGAAGGCTTGGCGCCGAGGAGGAGGAGGAAATGGCTGCACAAGGTCAATGGAGCTGTTCAAGCAAAGTACCTACCAAGAGGCTGCTGTAACATGGCTAGGCCGAACCTCGCACGAGCCTTAGATGGTGACCTCTACGAGGGGTGCGGAATCCCCCAGCGGGTGAAGCGGGTCGTAGGGGGCTAACTACCCTCCGCCAGGACAAAGCGCAGGGTGCTGTGTAGAGTGCAGTAGTGTAAGGGTAGGGAGGCGGTGCGACATGCACGTGGCCTGAAGTTGTAACAGGAGCACCAGACTCCGGCAGGTTGCGATAACTGGTCGTGTTCCACAGCGACAGTGTGGCGTCCTCACCAACGATAGGTGGAACTCTAGGGTGGAAAAGGGCCCGTAGAGGTGACGCGGTGGGAATATAGCATATAGGACTGACTAGGTGCAGACCTCAGAGCGTTCCCCCCTTAACACACGCCAGGTTGAGCGGACACCGGTGTAACAATAATAATAATATAATAATAATAACAACCACACACATATATACACAAACACGAAGTGTCACGTTTTGATATTTCAGATACGGTGTTTGAAGTACAACACCATCAGTGATAACACTGTTGAGAACGGAATTATGTTTTGCTATTTTAACGATGACCGTACGGACTGACGATGTGCAAAATGCCTTAATTTGATACGAAGGTCGTTGCTATGGCATCCAGCCTCTTCTTCCAGGTGGATGAAGATACATACACCAGTAGATTGCTTATGTTAAACATAAACCGAATTGACTTAGTTGAAGAAGGGAAAAGCGCTGCAAATTTCGTGATTCGTAAATTCGTGAAAGTTCGTAAACAAGGAAATAACGTGTATTTCGCAAATTTCGTTGTATATATTGTGTAAAGTCCGTAAATTTCATTTGCCTCACAACTACACAGTATCACAAGTGGTAAGGCAATGGATACTACCACTCCACCACTACTGGGTTTAATGTACGACGGTATGCCGTACACTGCCTGCTGGCGGAAAAAAAGGCAGGTATAGGAGCGCCCCAGGATCCCACGACCGACAGGTCGATGCGGCGGCGAAGTGCTACGTACGGCAATACGAAATCCTCAAAATGTAAGATTGAAAAATATTACACAGGAGTCAGATTCTTATGCAGGCGCTCCGCTCTTTCCATTTCCCCCCACCCATCTGTACGACGCAAGGAGAGGTACAGGGGGGGAGGACTGCACGTGGCACGCATGTGCTCCCCGCCCGTTTCCCTCACGACCCACGTACGGCAAACACACACACAAAACAAAAAGACACGTCCACAGGTTTACACGTTGCCACCCAAATGACAAATCCCAGTTTAATTACGTCATCGGGTACACCGCATGGGTCCTACGTGCGCACACACACACACACACACACACACACACACGCGCACCCCTCCCCCCTCACCTCCATCAATATCCGAAACACCGCGACCATCACCTCGTTGGGCGCCCCCGCACAAACCCGCGACTGCCTGCTCGCCTCCGCAAGGCCGTCCAGGGAGCCTGTGGGCGCTAGACAGAAGGTACTCCTCATTTCGAGCGACGGAGGAGGATAATCTCATGCGTTTTCATGCGTTCTTAGGATATCGGTCGCTTTCGGAGCTTTTTTTCTATTTTCGAGCCTCCTCCTCCTCCTCCTCCTCCTCCTCCTCCAGGCTTTAGGTATGGGCCCTCAGGCTACACCTGTTTTGAGACGGTAACGCGATATATTAGAAGGTGTAAAACACACACACGCACACACACACATTCCTAACACCCTCCTTCTCCCCTCCCCCGTCCCGTCCCCCCATCCGAAGCCCCCACGCACCCACGGCCAGCAAATGCCGGTATCCCGCCAAGCTCATGTCCGCCGCAATGAACTCGGCAGCCGGACTCGATGGGGGGTCGACATCACGTGCAGCCCGCGTTCGGATCTCATCCACAAGCTGTTTCGTACGGCAAGTACCAGCATATCGTACGGAAGTGCCGTACACGGCAGGTCAAGGGGAGGGAAACAGGCTTAGGTAGGTTTTGCTTTCCATCCAAGGCTGCAACAGTACAACAGTAATACGGCAGTAGTACGACTTGCGTCCAATCCTTCCCCCCTAATCTCAGTCCCCAAACCACCTCCCAATTTTAGATGCCCAGACGGCACCTTTATTAATATAAACTTGTTTTTAATCTGTTTTTTTATTATTCTCTGTTTTAATATTAGTAGTAATCTGTTTTCTTTATTACCCTGTTTTTTGCTACCCCCACCTGCTGTACGGAAAGCCCCTGGAAGCGATGTAAGCCGTCGCAGCCGTCCCCGTCCTCCACCTCCTCCTTCACCTCCGCCCCCCGGCGGCCCGACTGGACCAGCCTCCGCTCCCATCGCTGCCAAGGACACTCCAAGCGGTCACGTATCGCATCCTTGAAGGACGATCGCTCGTTGTCGTAGTTCCGTAAATCGTCGTACCTAATGTGCCGTACATATAAAAATACATTCGTGCATATGTGTGCATCATTACTTTATGCAATACAACACCGTCGTCTTCTACGACAAAACATGTAATAACGAACAGTGCCACTATCCAACATCTCAACAAACAACGCTACCTTACAACGATACCTTGTTAAAGGAATGGTGCCTTGTTAGGTCTTGGCAGCAGCAGCAACCGACGTGACGGCGTGGACGGTTAGTTGGTTAGTTTGCAATACGATTTAGACCGTTGGTAGTTGAAAAACAGGGGTTGGCAGGGAGGGGTCACCGCGCTATGACAAACACTGTTCTTTGTCCCTCACCTTCATCAGCAGCTTATGACAAACAGTCAACCCCCAAACTACCACCACCACCGCCACCACCACCACCACCCCCAACACCCCCAACACCCCCACCACCACCACCCCTCACCAAAAGTGGTTGAGACGGTTAATGCGGTACAACGTCCGCTGTACGAAGGTATGGCACGCACAGGACTCCGGAGACCCGTCGTTGCCTGCGATTAATGTACATGTTTGGTTGTTGAAGTATGTATGTTGTTACAGGGTGGTTAACTTCGCCAGCGGCCCCCTTTCCCGGGGCAGTCCCTGCTCTCCCCTGCTAGAGGGGCACCCTAATCCGTCACCCCATCCGACTTCAGAATGTATTCGTTGGGTTCGGCAACTCACCACCAGCATCCAACCAAATCTAGCGGATCAACGGCGCATCAACTTAGTTCCTGGTCAGCTCGCAAGTTGATATTATCACGTCCTACACCGTCCATAAGATGGGGGGCCACCTCCCATTTCATCACTCCTCAAACACCCGAGGAGCCGGCAGGCGGATTTGAACCCGGGTCGACTGGGTCGACTGGGAGCAGAAGTCAGGCCTTAACCTCTGCCAGCCGCCTGCAAGTATGTATGTCGTTACAGGGTGGTATGGGCATGTGCATGGTAACGAACTAATGAACTAGGCAATCCGAAAAAGGAACTAAGGACTAATGGGTAAAAATACTTTGGAAGTTTAAAATTGTCAGATTGGAAACTCGCCAACAACGGACAAAAGGCAACTAACTAACCAATTACTCAACCAACCAATCCACTACCCACCGCTGCCCTACCTGCCGGCCCAAACGCGCGTTCCGTTGCGGCAACCACTGCTCTGTCCACCACCTCCGCGGCCGCAATGACCCGTGGGTCAGTCACAGCTGACAGCTTCTTGTCCAGGTCTGGAGTCCGCAAGAGCTCCAAAAACGCCCGTTCCGCCCGCGTGAAGCAGTCACCACTCGCCGTACCGATGCCGATATCTGCACAAACACAAAAACACGAGCACACAAAAACACGAGCACGCAAGGCTTGAGCACATAAAAACACGACCACATAAAAATACAAGTAAGAATGTAAAGACGGTAACGAAAAGCACAAAAAGAAGGAGTCATATAGTCGGATGCTAACATTCCTCGTGACTAGCACTCCACAGCGTGAGACATGAGAATTGAAACGCTCGTCCACTCTCACTCTGTTCGATGTATAGAACCGTTACTGTTAATGTAGTCCGAACGGGAAAAAGAACTTGACGTGACGCGGTGTCGTACACAGTCGTACTCAAAACTGTAGTGCAGCCCGGTGTGCAACATGACGGGCCTCATATGAGGCCACCCAGCCAGTAGCTCCTATTAATACTTGTACGGCAGGCCAGATGCCACAGTTTCAGATCAGATTAGCAGGACCGTAGTTAGTCCTCGATAATGTATTAAATTATTTAATTAAAAAAGTTAAATTTTAAATTAATAACGTTGGTAAAAAGAAAAATGTTGATAAGGAATCCAGGGGTGCTAGAAGGGTGCATGTGAACGAATCAGTTCTGCGGCCGTTACAAACCCACCACGCCGTTATAAACCCACCACGGCTGCTGTCGCCACCATGCCCCTCGCTGTACGAGTAGTCGTATCCGGGCAGCCGGCGCGCTGCGGCGGCGGCGGCGAGTGACCCCCCGGTGCTGTTTACAGCGTCTGGCAGGCAGCGCAGCGGCCGTTGGGAAGACCACACAGCCGTACAGCCGTCAGCACCGTTTCGGATCGTCACCTGTGCCGCCGCGGCGGCAGCGGCGGCGGCAGCGGCGGCTTGCGTAGCGGCGGAGGATGCGGAGAACGCCGGGACTTTCGCAGCGGCTGCGGCGGTAGTTGAGGTGGTTGAGGTGATTCGGCTGTTATTTATGATGTTAAGTGTCGCAGTGGGGGATCTCCGTGGCGGAGAGAAAGAGGCGGAAGAGGAAGTGGAGGAGCGGGAGATGCGCCATGAGCATGGGCGGCTGCGAGCGGTGGTTGGCGGTGGTTGGGGCGAATTCGGCACGATGGCTCGTGAGGTTGGAGGAAGGAGGTTGGGGGAGGGCTTGGGCTTCAGACGGGGCAGCTGGTGCGATGTGCGCGAGATGCTCCAAGGTGAATTGTTCATATCTCTTTATTGAAATTGAATTTCAGCTGCTGTTGGTTGCTGCGGCCTTATCCTTTTTGCAAAAGTTGAATCGCAGTGTGCGCAGCAGTTCTTCTGCTGCGGAGGTTAATAGAAGTCACCTGCTGTTAATTTGTGTTATTAACGGGCGCGAGTGTCATTATGGACTGTAGATTGAAGATAGACGCTGAGATGATGCCGGGAGAGGGCGAGAGAGTGAATGATTTAATTACAAGAACAAAAACAATTGTCGGAGTTGTCGCTCTTCCTCCCTTCGTACCCGGTATAATAGGTAATTGCAGCGCTATGGGTTACTTTATTGGTTTGCTTGTGGCCAGGAAAAAGTTTTTGCTGTGTCGCCATGCATATGATGTCATTACTACGAGGGGACGTTCGGTAGCCGGCGATGGCCCACGCCGTCTGCTGCCAAACGGAACTGCCACGTCGCACTGCTTTCGCTCTTACGCAGTGCCGTGTAGGGGACTGTTAAAAAAGTACAGGTTTAAGCCTCGTTTGTGATGTTTTTCCTTGCGACTGAACAAACGTTTCGTTGGCCTAGACATCAAAAACATCGCATTTGCACGTTTGACCGCGGCTTTTGACTGGCCCACCTACGTTTCACATAAATCACCTCGATGTACGATTCCCATTCCGGCCCATTTCCGACTGCTTGCCATAGCGGTGCGTCATAACGTTATCATGCGCGACTGCTTAGTCGGGCTCACAACTGGCGAGCTACGAACATAGAGCTCATAGAGCAGGACGCCGCCGCGCAGTTGCACAGGAATTTCTATTTAAAACACCTGATTTTCAGCCCTCCAGATATCGGGCATCTATTAGAAGAACCGTCTCGTACCCTTTCCCTTGACTACCGACCGCCTTCTTCACAATCAAGCGAGCGAGAGCCTGCGAGAGCCTGCGAGCGGCCTTTTTCGCCCCGACCGCCGTCACCATCAACCTCTTCCTCCCTCAGCCTCCAGCTTGACGCCACCTCCAGCCGGTCTCGTTCCTTTGCTCTTACCTTCAGGAAACGGCTCTCTAAGCTTAGGCCTCTAAGCTTTGTAACTTAGGAAAGCAACGTCACACAATGGTCAAGACAATTGCATTGGGTAGCCATATCCCGGTGCCGCCGGCAGCGGCGGAACAAGCAGCAGCAGCAGCAGCAGCAGCCGCTGGCCGCCGCGTCGCATTTCGCCGCGTGAGCCCCTGTCCAGTTGCATCGTGCTGTAATCAGCTCTCCATGACTCGCAAGCAGCACTTCACCGCTGCCGGGGATAGATGGCTCGGAAGGGTGTCGACTGCTGCTGTGCGGCGGGGGACCACCTTACATGCTGACGGCAGCGGCAGCGGCGACAGCGGCGGCGGCGGCGGCAAAGGACTTGATGATCTTACAGCGTTCAATGTAATGCGGCCGCATCCACTCGTCATCGCGGCGTCGACAGAGCGGCGGGCGGCGGAGGTTGCAGTCGTCGTCGGCGGGACGGTCGGTGGCGGTGCCGTACACGTAGCGGCATGGCCAGCAGCGGCGGCAGAGGTGGCGGCGGTTGAGAGGGGACTTCAGACTGCAAGTGCTGACAGCGCGATGACGGCTCTGACCATCACCACGACCACCGCCACCACCGCCACCGCCGCCACCACCGCCACCACCGCCACCGCCGCCACCACCACCTCGGTTGATGCCAGGTGAGCTTCTTACGACAGGCGGTGTTCGATGCGACCGTCGAACGTTCGCTTCGCCCGTTCCTTGGCTTCGTTCAATCCGCTCGATCCGGCTTTGCTTTCCCGAGGTGGGATGAGGCAATCCGTTCCCACTCCTTCTCGTTTTACTTTATGTCTTCCTTCCTTAAGTACATATTTTCGCCATGGTCGTCCTCTGGTCGAATTCTGTACTAACGACACTGTCGCCCATGATTCCCCTGCCGTACCTTGCCGTACTGTTGTGCAGACCCCGCGTCTACAACGCCGCTGAGGTGTTTCAATGCCAGGAAGAGTCGCTGTTCTACAGCCAGGTTCTCGAGAAGATGTTGCCTATTGTGGCGCGGCGCGAGGCGGCGCGCAGCGACGGCGCGGCGGCGTCGACACCGCCGCATGGGGCAGGTACGGAAAGTAATGCGTGCGGAGAAGGCGCCGGTGTGGGCGGAAGTGGTATCGACCGGTCAGGGGCCGATACATCGCAGCCACGGGAGGCGGCCGCCGATAGCGAGCGGCCGCTCAAGGTTGTGGAGTTTGGAACGGGCGACGGCAAGCCGGTGATTAATGCGTTGAATGTGACAAGGTAAGTTCTTTGCTAAGTGTAGCGAGTGCTATGTCGCCCTATGGGGAAGGGCATACGGGTACAAGTTATCGATGTCCACGACGAGGTAATCCGTTCGAATTTCATCATAACTAATATGTTTTTTCAACAGGCGCGTTCTTTCAGCGTGCACTCTTACACTTATTTTAATTATGAGTTATTCTTACACTGCAGTCATCGCTATCTCACATGTTGCTTTCATCACATGTTTAAACCGTGTCGGACTCCGCATCGCGACCAAAAGCGAGAATGCGAGCCGTCAGTCGCTTTTCGCACCGCATATGCTCGACTGACGTTAAATTAAGTCAGAAAGCCTACAAAGCATACAGACGGGCAGAACGGACAAATAAATTGACGGAGGCCTCGCCCCTGTTCGCCGGTCAACTGCTTCCCGAAACCCGAAAGCACAGGCTTGGCTGCGTCGTATACGGCTTTGAGCTCAACCCTATTTCCGCGGGCCTGGCGCGCGACAACGCCGCCGCCTTCGGAATGTCCGAGCGATACCAGGTAGGTAAGGCCCTGCGCTGGCCATGGACAATGGAAATATGGAGCTATCTGATTACTGGACATAAATACTTAAGTGACTCTAAACGGAGGGCGGTCGATGTTGTCAGGTTTTGCGCGTTGTGCAGATTTGTCCAGATCAATATTCCAGGATAGTTGGGGAGTACACTCCGACCTGGCGACGGACCCTCGCGATCCCTTTTCGCACGCATTCGTGCATGGCTGCATAACAGACCATAAGCGTGTCTTAAGTGCTAGGGTGTATTTCATTGCAGCACTGGCGACAGTTGCAACATTTTTAGAAAGGAAGAGGCTAATGGACACATGTCATCGGAACTGACGATTTTCTTTAACTCGGCCTCCCAGGCTGTGCCAGGGCCTCCCAGCTTAGGCCTCATACATAGTTCGTGCCGTCCCGCCTACAAGATATTGTACTATAGAGCCAGGCAACAAGAGCTGACGTTATTCCCAGCCACCTTAAACCTGCTGCTTCGCCTCCTGTGCTCCTGGCCGCGCCCCTTCCTACCACAGATTTCGACGGGCTGTTTCTACAAAGGCACCTCCGCCCCTAATTCGCCCACAGCCGGCGCCGTCTGCCTCATCGCAAATCCGCCGTACTTGCCCGCCCCCAACTCCGACATTCTGATGCCCGAGCTGCATGGCGGCGTTGACGGCGGGGAACTCACGAGGGTGCGTGGGTACTGTGGATGTGTTCGCGCGTCGAAGGGCTACGGTTGGGATAAAAGGTATTTTCGGGGCTCATGGCTGAGGTGGAGGCATTCCAGGAAATCGACATCGTCAAATGTTTTCGTAATGCTATAGGGTGTGAATGTATTATTGCTGACGAAGACGGGTGTAATGTGGCAGAAGTGGCACGTCAGGTTCTAGTTTTCTTGTACTGTGTGATTATCCGTCCCAACACGTTTGGCAACACGTTGGTGCAACTGATGAGGCGAGCTGGCTCGTCCGAAAACATCTCTCCAGAAAACCTCTGGAGTCATGCCAGCGCGGCAACTCACCACCCGCGCTGGCTCACTGCCATTCCTGCTTGCAGAGCCTACTGTCCTTGGGCTTTCCCTATGCTGTGCTGCTGTTGTCGTCGTTCTCCAACCCAGCTTCCCTACTGCGGCACGCCGCGGCGGAGGGTTACCGTGTCGTGGACTTCCAGGTCACCCCGCTGTCCTTCGGCATCTATTCCTCAGAGCCCAAGGTATGGAGGGCCTCGTCAAGGAGTATGCTGGTCGAGGGTGAGGACTGCACGGACTTAGGGTCGTTGGGCCAGGTGCGCTAGGTCCGGCCTTCTGATGCGGTGGCCGCGGAAGCGCGGCGTTGCGGTGAATCGCACAAGCGCCTATCGTGATACTGCAGGTTGTTTCCCACGGTTGTCTTGTTGGTGTCGATCTGAGCGAAGCGTTCGAAACTCTTACGACTGTACGAATATACGATTTGACGTGCGTCACGCCGGACGTCCTGCTAGCTTTCAAAGCAGGGCTGATTATATTGTGGATGCATTTACAGGTCCGGAGCTGGATTGCGGCTATGAAGGCGCGCGGCGAGGCGTTCTATAGGGGCAACATTTACGTGCTCGCGGGAGTCCTTTTTGAGAAGAAGAGTCTGAAGAGGATTGAAACAGTCACAGCGGCTCCGTCGCGCAACAACGTATCCAACGGCAACGGCCACAGCGGTTCTGTTATGACAATGTACCACAACGCAGATGTGGCCGAGAGGGGTGAAAGTGATGCCGAGGATATTACGTCGCAACTGTTGTGCCTGCTCACCGCTTTGTAAAGCGTGCAATGGTGACGTGCATCAGCAGAAAAACGGAACCATACACTGTACAATACTGGTGGAGCTTCCTAATGTTCAAGCAGTGACAATTACATACTTTGTGTTGACGGCCTTTAAGAGGAAGGCTTAGTTGCATTTCAATGATGTCAAAAAGCGTGCGAAGTATGTACGACGTGTGTGGAACCTGTTAAGGTTGAGACCGAACAGTGGAACTGCTAACAAGAACACGTGTGAGACAAACCTCACTCGCTTTAACACGCCCCCCTGAGCGATGCCTGTACGCTGCACGCTGATGTCAAGCCATCCTGGACCAGAGCGCATGATCACTGAAAATTACGAATACAAACCAGAACAGCACTCATAAACACACCACAAACAGTCCGTGACACCTACTACCAGAATGCCGCTGATTTCGGGAAACAATCGCAAGCTGAGACTGCACCTTCCATAGCACCTCGACACAAAAAATAGTGCAACGTGAATCCCGCCTGCGAACATGTGCATGATGTACACCTCTGCGCGTGGCAATACCCACCACCATTAATCCACCTCCTAGCTGCTCGGCCCTGCTGCCGCGGCAATGCTCTGGATCTTCTTCATGCGCTCCTGCAAATCAAGTAGATCTTGCGAGACACCTCCAGGCACTGAAATGCTCGCCGAGTTCCGCACGGGCAGATCGTGCAAGTTGGTCTGCAAGGGTGCGGCAATAACCCAGTAACAGCGTGATAAAGGTTCCTAAGAGCTGCGAGTAAATGACGATTATTTCATGCATAGCAAGACATTCATTTCAAGCCGCTAATCCTTCCCTCTCCTTGCTGTCATTTTCGTGTGAGCGGCCCGCAATCAGTTGCCGGCCCACGCACGCGCCGGGGAAAATACCAGAAAACGAAAAGGGTAGGAGGAGAAAGCGGGTTAAGGAAAACAAGCATTATGCGAACTGGCCCGCTGCAGCTGCGCATTACTACGGTCTGGCTGATGCACGAATGGAACATATGCACCGAATGAAATGGTGCTTCCATTCTCTATGCTCCCATCTTGCTGACGGATGTATATTTTTATTTTTGATTTATTTTCACTTACGCTCAGGCTATTCATGCGGCTGCGGAGCTCGTCCAGATTGCCAACGCCCCGCAAGCGCCCGGGAGACGCCGGACTGTGCGGACGCGCCTCAGAAGCGGCCAGCTTGTCGGCAACTGCAAGAGTCGGCACGGGAAAGCCGGTAAAAATGAAACAAGCGATACAAGGATAAACATTAATCCATGGCTTACGTGTCATCCGGCTCGACAACGGCCCGGCCGAGTCTCCATCCAGAGTCCCCCAGCTGCTGCCGCCACCGCTATTGGCGCCACCGCCATCGGATAGCTTGGCGGCGGCGGCTGGCGATCCGCTAGCGTGCTCCTGAGCAGTCGCTGCTGCCGCAGTCGATGCCGCGTGCTGAAGCTGAAGCCGCACCTTGGACAGACCGCGCTGCAGGAACTGCTTAAAGTATGGGCTCACCTGCATGTTGGGATGCAATCACCTGGGTAAATCCCGGGTACTCAACCACCACACTGAAGGGGGCAGATAGTCCCTATGCATACGACATCTCATGCACTAAACTAGATTGCGGCTGCATAGCGTTACCTGGCTCAACATCTGGTTCAAAACGTCGATGTTGGGATTCGCGTCGATGAAGTGGTGCAGATCCACAAGCGCCTGTCACCAACATGTACAAGGAGCGCGATAGTACGTTACCACGAACCAGGGGACGAGTAAAGCACCAAAGTTGACGCATAAAAACGACTTAGCGGGTGCTGGTTGGCGCAGAAGTATAAAACATACACTACAAGTTACTTTGATGTGGGGACCCCAACGACTTTTAAAAAACGTACCTGCTGCGATTGCGCTTTGTCGCCAATGCGCTTGAAGATGGTCGCCAAGACATTACGTGCCTCCTGATCGTCCAACACCGGCCGCTTGAACTCATGACTCGATGGCTCCAGGCTAAGCGGAGACACATTGCCCCCCGTCGCAGAGGCTGCAACCGGCACAGGTGCTGGTGCGGCGACTTGGGCCACCACAGGCATGACCGGAGCCGGAGCTGGCGCCGGCGGTGCGATAGATGCTGAGCTTGACACCTTCTGCGGCACTGCGCTTGCAGTCAAGGGCGGCATCGCGTTGGTGCTGAGCGGGAGGAGCACTTGCGGCTGTTGCTGTTGCTTGATTGCCGGCTCCGTCACGACTGGCGCTCCGGCAGGTTTTGAAAGCACACCCGGCGCACCTGCTGCAGTGCTGGCCGGGGTGGCATACGGTATGCCTCTTGAGCGGGGCGCCCCAGCCGCTGCTGACCCGGAGGTCGAGGCCACGTCAGCGTTGGGCGCCATAGCCGGCCTGGGCGCAGCCGCGGCGGCCATGAGGGTCGCTGCCGCCGCCGAACCCGGAAGATTCTGACCTGCGCGCTGCAGCGTCTCCAAGTTAAGGCGGATGTACGGCAACATGACCATCTCCTCCATGGTCTCCTGAACCCCTGCAGGGCGTTCAACACAACCTCAACAGATTTAGTAGCTCCAGTCAGGGAATTGTGCAACGAACAACGAGCATTGCAAAATGTCAGGAATGTCTATTGTGAGAAGTTCCAGTGCACTTACCTGGCATCGCTTCGACGTCCTTGTAAATGTCGTAGCCACGGTGCTTGCACAACTCGTGAAGCATTGTCTTCACCATCCGCAGGGGCTTGTCCTCCTGCGGTCCAGTGAGGGACGAAAGATTACGCACCGCCTTGACAAGCAGCAGCGTCCTTCTGTGCTGCCAAAGCAACGGCAGTCGCCCGTGCTTATCACCCAGGTTAAGGTCGCCCTGAACACAGTCTAGCCCCGTTTTGGAATACGTGACACCCCCCGCACATTTGAGCTACGGCGGCGGACCTCCTCGGTGCCCAGATCTTGCATGTACCGATGAATGTGCACCAGCACGTTGCCCACATTGAGGGACTGCGTATACAGGGTGAACAAAAGGCAGAGGCGAAAGACAATTATATGTCAGGTGATAATCCGTCCATGCTCACCGAAAAGTGTCTGCTTCAAGGCTTGCTGCTCCTAAGTTGAACCCCAGAAAGCGAGAGGTCTTACCGGCACCAACGCCCCAAGCTGTTTCGTCATCTTGATCAAACACTTCACGAGCATGTCGTTCCATCGCAACAGCATCTCCGCTTCACCACCATCAGATCCAGCCGTCGCTGGGTGAGCCATCTCGTAAATCCGAGGGTTAGGAACGCGCAGGCAGTGGATGAAACCGCCGAACAACCCAGCCCTGAAAGCAGCAGGCATTCTGGCAGTGTAAACAGGTTGTACCATTGGCGCGACAATGAGATAGGAGGCCGCAGCAATGCCACGTACAGGACCCATGAAGCTATAAACGAACCTGTTCGCATGCTCCAGCAACTTCATAATAAGCATATTGACGGCCTTCAGCAGCCCATCACCGTCGGGCACCTGGAAATGAATAAACACGGGAAACATCTCAGTGCCGACCGGCGCTGCAACCCGGGAGCTCATGGCTAAAGCGGCCGATTACTCCGCAGCTGGTTCTTCACATCCAAAACTGCGGTTCGCACCTGACGCAAACGCCCATCAATGAGGCAAGCTATCAGCACGCTGCAGAGCCTCCGCAGCGCACTGTCAGTTAGGCTCGTCGTGAGGGGCGTCACGTTGCACAAGTTCATTAGGGAGTTGACGCTGTACTTGCAGGCCCGTGCATTGTATATGGGGCCGCCTGGCAGGCACATCGTTGAAGCAGCAGCATCCGACAGGGACTGCGAACGAGAAAACGCAAAGCGAAGCACGGGAGAGATCCAGTCAGGCTCGCATTCAGCCAGGGCTAAACCTCAACATGCACTGCACAAATGTGCAGTTATAAAATATCCGCTCTTTATGTAAATCCATCCAAGCCTCACCTGCTCAATCCGTTGCGATAACAGGTGTACGAGTTCGTCTGCGTTGCGAGGATCCATGAGTAGTGAAACAACGTGCGGACTGTGCTTGTCCAGCTCCATGTAGCTGTAGCACAGCAGCTTCATAGCTTGGGTTGCGCCCTCCCAGTCATCGCCTGACACGCAAGCGACAAGAGTATTACAATTAGTAATCGATTCTGGTTTTCCTATGGTGCTTTGTATAATACCGGCGTTGGTACAGGTATGGCCCAACGACCGCCAGCAGACAATGCATCGAAACGTGGCTGGCAACCCAGCACCAGACACAGGGATCTCACCTTGAAGCCGGTCATGCATGATGACCCAATTGCGCATTGTGGCCTCCTCGTCAGGTCCCTGCAGCCATATGGGTTATTCGGTAGCTGAGACAACGAAACCGCGAAGCGCTAAGCAGCGCAGTGTCCCTAACATGCAACGCCGTCACAGTCACGCAACGCAATACCACTAAGACGGAGTGCTTGCAGGCAGAGTATAGGCGCCACCCTACTTCATGAGACCAAGCATGGTCCAAACAGAGCCTCCGTACCTCCAAAGACGTCAGCACCGCAGAATCGCCACCGGATACGGGAACAGCACCCATGTTGAAAGATCCAAAGCGGCTGATGGCTGGAGAGTTTACACGGCGAACATCATAGCCCTCTGGCGCCGCTTGCACTGGCGGCGGGCTGTCCGAGTTCGCTGGTGGCGGGACAGCCGCCATCGAGGTTGCGAGGGCCCCACGTCCAGAAAAGGAGTCCATGAGGCTTCCCCTGGCAGCGGGCGATGCAACCCCAGCGGTGGTTGAAGGCTGCACACCGACCCCGAGCCCAGAGCGGCGCAACGGCGAGGGAGGCCGCCGCGGCGTGCCACCGGCAGCCACTGGAGAGACCGCCATTGGGTCATCCTGTTGCTGAACATACGTGGGTAGACATCGTGCGTCGTCGGCAAAGGTGAGACAACTTTGTTAGAAAGCCGTGTTTTAGCAAAGCCTTCTGATACAAGCACTGACCCCTTGGCACTGAAAAGCATGGCACTGAAAAGCATGGTGAAGGCGCTGAAGGCACCAGCAACGCAGGGCACAGATACGCTAATCGCGTACCTGAACCGGGAGACCGTACTCAGCTGCCTTGTAGCCGGGTTGGTGGCCAGCCCGGACCAGGCGATTGCCCACTGCCTTGATTCGCTCCTCAATCAGCGACTTCTGCTGATCCGTCAGGCGCCCAACGTAGTCCCACATGCCTGCAAAGCATTGCACGATAGTTCTATAGCAGTAATGTTTCTGGACCACCAAAAAGGTTCCAAGAAACTTGAGCAGTTCTACGGTGTAGCATCCTTCATCCTGCTCGCTCACCCTGCCCTTCGATGCAGTATAGGACTTCCATGACACCCAAGCAGGCCGCCCGCACTGCTGTATCCCGTTCCGCTACGAGTCGCGCCACGGCTGCCATGAGGCTATCGCTTGCGGCGGAGCCCGTCGTTGACCGTGTGATGGCGCCAGACGAGCCACGGTACACGACCGGACCAGTGCGCTCTACAATGGCTGCAATCTCGTCCAGACACACCACGCGTGTCTTGCTGTTCTTAGACTCCAAGCCGTCCTGGATAGGTTTCCACCGTGGCGTGGCAAGGCACATGTAAGGGAGACCCCGCGCATGAAGCATTGGGTCAACACACAAGACACAAGACAACCGGCCAGGATTTGAAGGCAACCATAGGTGGCTACAAGCCTCATGCGTACCTTCACGTATGTCACAACCTTAACGGGCGGGTGCACCTGCGCGAAACGCTTCAAAAGCTCCCGGTGCTCCGCCTAGAGTAGGACAGGCGAGCCAGGGGGTCAGAGGCAAGCAGACAGTGGAATAAAATAGGTAGGGTGCAGAGGTAAGGAACTCGCGCAGCTGCGGGGAGGCAGCGCACCTTCAGCTTATCCTGGTTATGCCCCGATTTCTCGACGACGGCCGGCAGGATTAGCTTGGCCTCGTATTCCGATATCCTGCAAGTACAGCACTTGGATAAGATACTTCCAGTTGCCGTGTAGTGTGGTCGGTTGTAAGCTGGCATTGGCGCTGTAACAGCGAGCTGCAGGAGCCGGAAGCTACGCACCGATAACCGCGGTCGATCATCAAATCCAAGAGCAGCTTCAGCATATCCAAGACCTTGACAAGCGAGGCAGTGTTCGACTCCAGTATGCGCAGTGTCGACCACCTTCGGGTTTTAGAACGAGACCAGATAACACAATTGGCAGGGGACAAAAATTTCAAGAGCAGCTTCACCACCAGACGGGCAATAGAAACACCGCGAGCATGTGCGCCCGGAATATGTGACCTGAAATATAGTGAGCTTACCTAAACAGTAGGTCCACAATGGCAATGACCTCGTCATACACCACCGGCAGAGCCTTGATCAGCATGTCCGCGGCCTCGCAGTGCTTCTTGAAGTCCTGGATTTAATCGCAGTGCCAAAGGGACGGCAAATCATTAAGCCCACGTACTCCAACTGTGTGCCATGACGAAACGTATGGGCTACTGCCTACCTTGCTGAACGCGGCCGCACGCAACGCGGGGCTGAGCATCGGGCTGAACTCCGCCTCCAACGTCACTGCTTCGTCCGGCATGATCTGCAGCTTCGCTGGCCTGAAGCGGCCCTGCAACCATTGAAGAAAGGTCGTCCGTGAAGGTGCAAGGTTCCGCACATCCAAGGCCATGCAAAAAGAGAGATGTGGGCAAGAAAGATACCAGCATCTCCATACCTTCTTAGCTCGATCTTCTTTGCGGTTGTCTGGCATAAGCAATGGCCCAGCATCGGCCGCCGCCATAGCTCCCATGCTCGAGCCGTGCATAGACCTGGAACGTGCGGTACATGGCCTGATAAGCCTCGGAATGACATGTCAGCGCTCAACTATAACAACTTTGCTTACTTCGCAACACCGCTGGTCTTCGCGGTTCCCGGTCGCGACATGGTGCTGTTTAACCCTCCTGGTCGTGCAATGCCGCTCGCCGTGGAGGCGCGCAACATGTCCTTTGAGCTCCGCGTCTGCTGGAGGCAATCAGCGGTTAGAGGTGATTAAGGTGAGAGACGCGAGAGCTGTTGGTGCAAGGAAAGTAAGTGGATAAGTAGCCTTAGCATGCCTAACTCACAGCTGCAGGTTTTGCGGAAGGCGCTGCAGCTGCAGAACCGAATGCCGCCACCGCTGCCACGGGAACTGGCGCGCCGGTGACCTTGCTGATGGCATCCATGGCGGGCTTCCGAGTCGCAACGTCCAGGGTTTGTGCAGCTGCACCGAGCTCCGCAGCTCCAATCGTCTGCAAACATGGTTTGGAAACGAGGGTTGCGAGATGCGCCGCGCTTCAAAGCAATGAGCAGCATGGATCCAACATGGACGCCGCCAGCAAGCCTGCAGCTTACCTCAACAAGAGCAATCATAAGTTTTGACGCAGCATCGCGGACTTCTGCGGCCTTATCCGTCGAGCCCATGCCCCCAGCACGCAGGATATCCACCAAACAGTCGCTGATCTTGGCCCCAGACGCCAGCGACGCCATCCACTTCAGCGTCTCCGCCTTGCCGTCGGCGGTGATCTTACTGCTGATGTAGAACTGCGGAGAGGCGTAGGACCATGATAACGGTGATGACATGGCTCAAGCAGCATGAACAGGTATCGCCGCTCTTCCTTTCCAGGCCTGTGTCTATTTACAGCGACAGGCGATGTGTCCATCGGCTCGATTTCGTTACTTCACGGTATAGAAGCTTGGTAGCTCGCTGTATCAATAACGACCCCTGCGCTGTGTTTCCGCCCGCGGTCAGGGCCCCCGGTGCTCGTCCTTTCTCGGGACGAGCCGCCCACAGTGTAGCAACCCATCAACAACAACGACAACAACGACAGTGTCGGAAATGGGCATCACTCACGTCCATCACGTCCGGCATGACACAGGATGCGCTTGTTACGCCCACCCAGGCGTCCAGCATCTCGGTGACTGCCGACCGCACCTGCAAGGGACGAAGGTGCATCGTCACAGCACACACGAGCGAGCTGAGCAACGCTCCTGCAGCGTTTTCATTATTCCCACGGCCCCGGGCACCGCATTGCCCGGGTCTCCACTGTAAAACTAGCACCAAAACCCTAAGTTCTCCAGTGTCGTACCGTTTGTTTCTGGTCGGTGATGTTCTTGATAGCCGGGGTCAACAAGGGCCGTCCCTGTCGATCGATTGCTTTGCCCATGGCCTTCGCGATGCGCCCCAGCACCGTAAGCGCCTGTGTGGTAAGGTTCTTGTTCGAGTCGGCCATGCGCTTCTTCAGCTCCGGAAGCAGGTCGCCCGTCTGCAAAGGCAATGTGGATCGTTCAATCTACTACCCATACGCGCGTTCTAGGTGTGCTAGATGTACCCCAAAACATCCAAGTCCGAATTATCAACAGCGCTGCGTAAAAGGAGGCTGCTCCGTTAGATTAGACCAAACACGGAAATCGTACCTGCGGCTGAATGCGGTTGCCGGCCTGGGTCAGAATGGTCTCGATCGCATCCAGACCTGCCTTGCGCTCCTTCCAGTTGGAGCTACCAAGCTGAGTGATAAGCTCGCCTGTTATGAGCCCGCTGATGTCCGTCCGCGGTAGCAGGTCATCTGGGTCAAACCCACCGGCAGCAGCGGGCCCACCTGCCGCAGCACCCGCGTTGCCACCCCCGCCCCCTTTGGCGCCACCCTTTGCACCGGCAGCTCCGCCGCGGGCAGTCGTGGCAACGCGTGAAACACGCGTGGGCTCGGGCTTCGGCAGGTCCGCGTTCTTGGCAAACTCGCCATCAATGGCGGTCATGAGCGCCGGCTTTACATCCGCCCGAATCATGTCCCCAAGGGCCGGCCCTAGGAAGCTGCAAGGGTAGAGAGGAACACGAGATGTCAAGGCGACGGGAGACAATCGACGACTCCCCCAATCAAACGGCGATGCAACGACCCTAAACCTAATCCATCAGGACAACGTTTACCAGATTTGGAAAGGCAGCTCCCGTGTACGCTGCGTGTATCCAGAGTGCGGCCGTTGCTCAAGTGCATTCTGCGGGCAACCCCACCCTACAACATCCTCCCGCTAAAGCTGAACCCTAAGCCACCCACCGGTACATGATGCCAAGCAGCTGGATGGATGAGTTGCGGACGCCGGCGTTGGCTGACCCCAAATCTTCCTTTGCCCAGTCCAGCAGGGCACGCACATCCATACCAGCGAGCCCGAACTCAAGGATCGCTCGGCCGATCCAGTTGATGGCCTCGCTTTGGACCTTAGGGTTCTTGTGCGCGGCGGCCTTCTTGTGCAACTGTGTCATGATGAACTGCGGTCCCACCGCCTCCGCGAAGCTGGTCAGCGTGTCGAAGCTAGGCTGCTTAAGCTTCAAGTCTGCAACCTGGAGAGATGTGACAGGCCAGAGGACAGGAACACGTCGTATGTATGACAGGCGATCCCGCGCAACAGCCCAGGAAAGAACTTCAGCCGTCCAGGACCTGCACGCTCACCTTGTCGATAATGCCGCCGATACAAGTGAAGGCATCCCGCTTGCTGAAGGAGGGGCACCCCGTGGCCGTGACTCGCAACGCCTCGAGAACTTTCGCCATCACCTGCATAACAATTCCCGGAGAAAAATACATACCCAACGGCGAAATCACACACCAGACACCACGGCAACGTCTTCCTCTAGCCGTATGGTCTTTTTAAATATTCATTCTCTGAGCTGCGATACCGGAACAGGCCGAAGTGGATGCGCGAATAGCCACGTCCTTTCCTAGCTGTGTGCGACACGGACCTGGAAGTTCTTCTCTGCCCATCCTGGGACGTGCGAAACTGACTGCACGATGGTGCTCCCGTTGGCGGCGGCCACTCCTGGCTCTCCAACGAAGGCCACCAGGCGCTCCATGGCATCCAGGCGCACCTGCCGAAGTGCAAGTAACCCGGGCCAAGTATGTCGGATGAGCTTCCCGTCCTATAGGCCAAAGCAGGGTCTTTCCAAGCATGACTTCGTACCTTCCACTGTTCGTCCTGAAGCTCTTTCACGGTGGCTTCGCCAACAAGGTCCGTCAGAGCTTGCACGGCCTGGTCGCGTGACAAGCTACCAGACGCCAGGCTTGCCTCATCGTCTCCGTCCCCGCCACCTGCACCGTGTAGAGGTCACTAATTCATGGTCAGTTCTGCACGTGCATCCATGACAGACTTGCAATGACCTGCCAACTCACTTGCCGCTTTTTTCCCGGCCCCGGCCCCGCCGCCTGCACCGGCTGACGGTCCCCCGCCACCGCCAGGTGCTGCGGACGCTGGTTTCGATGCCGCTGCCGGCCGCACCGTAGCGCCAAGGCGAGATTTCATGCTTAGGGTTGGACCAGGCGTCCTCGCCGCCTGAGATCAAACCAAAACCAACGAATATGCCTTAGACCATACGGTAGCAAAATCGGCACATTCATAACTGAGCGCAGCCAGTGGCAGTAGAAAAAATGTTTCTTTACTTCAGCCTACCGGAGCTGCGGACGCCGTGGCTGCTGCGACCGGAGCAGCAGGGGTCGGAGCCGCAGCCCCTGCCGTGGCGTTGCCGCCTCCCATAGCCTCAGCCACCATATCCTGTACACCACAGCGGCAACAGGTTCAGCAAGTAATGTCTATAGCATTGGCCTTATGCCAAAACAGGCAGAGCAGGAGAATGACCATGCAAGGTAGGAAAAAACCCACCTGCAACTTCTTCTTTCGGGCGTCGTCAAGCTTAGCGCCAAATTTCTCCAGGATGGCGGTGTTGCCAAACTGCAACCACGGCGGATTCAACCGTCAGCAACGACAAACGGCCACGCACCCCCCGACACACGACCATAGGTTCCGCCAACGGAGGAGATCTTTGGGTTCAGGACTGCTTTAGGACGGAACCGCAATGGCTACGGTGAACCCGTAGAGGTGGCACCGATGCCGAAGCTGCAATGGCCCGGATTTAAGACGTACTGTTTTTCAAACATTGCACACTTGAAAATATCAAGGAGCACCATTCCAAAGCGTAGCAAAAACTAGCGGATAACGAAAGCGAATAATTCGTGAACTTGTTAAGAAGTGAGAAGGTAAGGAAGGTTTATTATTCATGTCGCACCCAAGAACGTGTTTCGTCTCGTCGTGCATGGCAGGCAGGCATGCACGACTGTCCCCTGGACTGTCCCCTGGAACAACGTTTCCACCGAGAGCAGTCTCACCCGTACAGTGAATGCCGCCATGAAACCCATGGCAGCTTCTCGGAGGGCAGGAGTGGCCTCTTCTGCCCCCTTCGCCGCTGCTCCCATCAAAGGCGCCACGAGCTGCTTCAAATTGGCTTTGGGCTCCTGAGATTCAGAGATTCAAAGCAAACGGTCAGAGAATAGGAGTGAATAGGAGTGAGTCCCCACGTCGTCCACGGGAGTCGACGGGTCACGTGTACTTGAGCATATGGGCATATGAGCAAAACGCACAACTCCACTGGGGCAAGACGAGCTAGATTTGCAGACGTCTCATCAAACGCAAGTTCGGAAGTCGGCCTTCGCCACGGAAAGCACGGAAAACGGCAGAGACAAAGGTTACCTGGGGCACGGCGCCGGTTAGCCATTTGTACGTGTCCTCTTTGACCTTCGGGTTGGCGTGTCCCATCGCCTCTGCAGACACACAGACACGACACAGACGCGAAGAGAAGGAAATCGTGATACGCCGAAGCGAGATACGTTGCGCCATATCTCAGGGGTACGCCGCTCAGATGTGCCGGGATCCGCACCGTACGTGCCCTACCCCTCGCTCTCCTAACAAGCGCCCCGCCCCGTGGTCCATGGAAAATGCGCTGTCTTATAGAGTTGAAGGCTGCCTTACTTACCGGTGAAATCCTCAACCACCTCCGTAAGGCTCCAGCAGTATTTGTGCATGAACGTCAGTGCACCCGCCACAGCGTTTCCCACGTTGCTATTCTTCTCCTGTACAGCAGGAGAAGGCAAAATGGGTCACGGTGTGCTTCTACGTTCTCGCACAATCATCCCTTGCCCATGGCCAACTGGAAATACACGTCCCGAGCCCTTTTGCAGGCAGGATGGCCAGCTCAGCAAAATTTCAGCCATAGCAACCGTTGTGAAATAGATTTCAAACACATGGTCCATCCCAGTTCGCACCTTGAATTTCTCCAGCAACAGACCGGCAAGGTTGCGTGCCCAGGACGCAAACTCCTTGCGCAGGCCCTTAGCAAGCAGCCCACAGCAATTGATCGACTCCGCCACCACCACCACATTGCTGTCCTTGCTGATCAACTGTTTCAGGAAAGCGCGTCCGGAGGATCCAGAACAAGACGTAAAGAATAACACGAAACAAGAAACAGAAAGACGCGATAATCGCACATGTCAGCTGCGGGAACACAATAACCCCCCCCCGACCGGTGCTCTCCAGAACTTCCAGGACTGCAGCACAAACAGCCACCCGTAGCCCGAAACAGAACTGACTGCCCACCTTCCGCAGCTCGCGCATCAGGTCACCGTAGTCGCCCGATGCAATACGCGGAGTGTCTGCAAGCCCCTTAAGGAGCAACACAGCGTCGCGGCGCTCCGTCCATTTCTTCTCCTCCAGTTTGTCCCAGAAACTGTCCGACTTGAGTTCCGAGAGGACCTTCTTCGGATCCACGAAATCATATGGGTCAGCCTACAAACACAGGTATGACATGATTAATGCCATGCTCTTTCCACAGGTGCACCATTACTAGCAAGGCCAGGCCGCCAGCTTTCCAACCAAGATCTTCCCGCTAATTGGCCCCCTATATACAGTGCCCGACAAGACACAGCATCTCGCACCTCGGGTGGTGGCTCGTCCTCTGCGGCGGCTGCTGCGGCACCCCCATTGCTTGTGGCGCCATTGCCCACGGGCGCTTGCTCACGAGCGTCCGCAGCCTTGGCCTGCTGCTTGCGCGTCAGGCGCGGCGGCTTCCGCGAGAGCTCCAAACCCTCCAGGTTCCGGTTCAACTCATCGCGCATGACCTCGCGCATCTTTTCAAACAGCATCGTGCGCACTGCGTCCGGGCCCAGCCACCGTGCCAGCTCCATCTGTGCGAAATGGGCGTTTCCAGGAGTCCCAATATGGCTTATAATAGACTTTTTCGCTCCTCAACTGGTCGTGGTGACCTTGCGCAATTTCAGTTCGCGGGTACCTATGGTGTCCGACACGCACGTCGTCGCCGCCACTGACAAGGAATCCTTCATCTGAAGGATCAGGTCTGCAAATGCGCGACTTTGCAGAGGTTGCCCACAGCGCATGAGAGGAAATGCAACCAGATGGAAAGTGCGAGGAACGGACGGCATGTATTTGATCCACCACGCTCTATCACGTACCACTAGGTCCTTGACCTTGTCACGTGCTTTCCCATCCTTGGACTCAAAGAGGGCGGGCAAGGCCTTGATCATGGGCTGTGGAGCCACAACACGGTGCCCAAAAAGACTGCAGGTTCAGGAGCGGGCCGCCATGCACGAAGAATGCGGGTTTGCGTTGGACACGAGCAAGATTGTTTGGGAGTGCATGCCATGTTACTACTATCTCAAAATTGCCTCCACAAAAGTATGTGCCTGAGTGTGGTCTGAGTAGCATGTATTCGAGAGAAGTGTGAAGTGCGTGGAATAATACCCAGCAGCATGGAAGCGCAGGCGCCTCATGGAAAACTGTCATCGGTCCTTACTTCAGCCCATGGTACAGGAACTCCAGCGAAGCGACGACCACCTTGGGGTTCTTGTTGCCGAGTCCAGACACGAGGGCCTCCTGGAAGGTTAAGCGGCACCAGGGGCATCGCAAGTGAGCAGGGTGCCTTCAAGCTATGGCCGGATGGGCCAACCCTTACACCGAAGCGTGTGCCTCCATGCTGCGAGCATGAAACTCATAAAACGTAAGATCCTCCCCCGTGATCCACTCACCGTGACCTTTTCTGCTTGCTCCAGCTCAATGAAAAGCAGCATCGCATCCAGAGCACGCGTCAGCGTACTGGTCCTGGCGCTGAGGCACTTGGCCACGATATTGGAGCAGGTCTTCTCGCATATCCTGTGCACGGAGCCAAAGCGAGAAGGGTTTTTCCCATATAGCAGGGCCGCCTCTGTTGGGCCCCAGAGCGCTGGCCCTGTCGCCACCCTCCCCTAACCCCACTGGGAAGCACCTGCTGGCGTGCTGTTCAGTAGCCTTGGTGAGGAACACCACAAGCGCGTCAAGGGCTTTGTCGACAGCAGCTGCATTGGCCTCTGTGACAGCCTTCGGAAACAGTGGAGCTGTGGACATGGAGATGGGAAGCGAGGCGGTTGGGGGTGGCGACTCTTTGTCTGTCCCGCCGAAACCGTTGCAATTTTCAACCTACCAAATTCCGAGAGTCGTGGATCAGCATCGTCATATATCTCCCTGCACGCCGCGCTGATGTCCTCATAAGCTGCAACCCTCGCCTTCCAGTTCGAATGCGCAATACGGTCCGGTAGAGGAAGTTTCTTTGCCTCTGCGAGCTCGCGAACGTCCTTGTCATCAGACATTATGATCTACGTGAAAGCAGGTCGTTCTATCGCCCTGCAAGACAAATGCAGCTACCTCATATGCAACCCTTAAAAACCTCTATTGACAAATTCAAGACAAACAAAAAAAACAAGAACAAGTCTTGGGGAAGGCGCCCGTGAAAACGTATTCATGCAGGTTCCGTGCGGCGATTCAAATGAATCTGTCATTCGTTTAGGCTAACCGACGCCAGTATCTAGACCAATAGCCAAGAATAATCTTTATTTTGTGTTCTATTATGGCAAAAAGTGTATCCTTCATGCTTCCTTGCAGCTTGAAAGCTTGCGTTGAGCATTCACCGGTTTGCTCTGGCTGGGCAATGCTGTTTACATGATTCACTAAACAACCACAACATGATATTATACACTCATCAGGCTCGCAAGATTGCCATCCCAGGACCCAAGGGTCGAGAGGGAGCCGCGCTATAGGTGAGCTCACCTGTGAACAACAAGGCAAGACCGTATTTCTCGTTTTGTAGCTTACCATAAAAGATTTTTTTGGCAAACGGGAAGCGAGTTAATTACTTCCTTTCCACGTGGTACTCAGGGCCCGCCCGCTGCCTTACAATCAACGCATACCTGCCACAGCCTTTGCCCTTATTTCCCTTCAGATTGCCAAACCAAACACCAGTAACAGACGCTACAGGGAACCACCCAATGCGGGCATAGCTGCCCACCTCTCTTCATAATGCGCATTCAATTGGCCATTCATCCCAGCAGCCCCCGGCCACCCAAAAACTAGCAGCGCCATGCGGCGCATATACCCTCGCAGCCTTGGACGGCCTCCCCAAGAGGCGTTGCCCTCCAAATCAGGGGGGCTAGGGCCCCGGTCCTAGGGGCTAGGTCCTAGGGGCTAGGGGCTGAAACATTATGGCATGTGCGGGTACACATCGGATCCCCGCCCACCACAATGTGGGGTATTCCCGACAAAACCGCTATTAGGACCGCGCCATGGGTTGGTTTGATTAAGAAGATCTTACCCGTTGCAGCGGAACCGCCGCGAAAGCGTTGTAGAGCCCGCAGGATCAGGCCCAGGTACGACGGTTTCCGTACAGAATCCAATCCCACGCTCCGGTGCGCTAGTGGCTAAAGGACGTGCGACACACTTGCCGCCTGGTACAGACCTGGCCCAGACCCGGGAACAAGTGGTCTTAACAAGTTCTAACCATATCAGATAGAGCACCTGTCGCACAAGTCGCGGCTTTCCTGAGAGGCGAGGTTATGACTTTCGCACACCGGGATATGTGGAGGATGATGATGAGGAGGTTCTTGCAGGCTCGCAGCTTTGTCCTAAGCCGCCCCCACAATTGCAATTCAAATCCCCGAAGGCCCGCCATGCATACTTCGATACTTGCCATGCATGTGTGGTGCTGCTGCTTGGGCTGCTGCTTGGGCGGCGCCGGCGGCGGGGACTCTTAGTGGGCCATGATCCACATTCAAACTGACATGCCAATCTTTCTCCCCGCGGCGAGAGGCTGAACCTCATTCTTTGCGTGTCTTCTTCAACATGAAGTGTTCCTATGTGCCAAAGATGCGCCGCCGTGTTTTAAGGTCTGCCTTATGCCGGACGAAGCAAAAAGCTGTGCATGTACGTCTGTAGCACCCGATCGTCCCCTCGCCTTGCGAAATAGCTGAGAAGATCTGGGACATACATGAGAGGCAAGGCTAAACCTACTCGGCAGCATATTGGCTTTTCTCTTTCTATATCGGGATAGCGAATTTAATTGACCAGTAATTATTTCAAGCGAACCATCAAGGGACACCGAACGGGCAGGTTAGGAGTCCCTCAGATATGTATAAAGCCAAAGGATGAATGTGTATTCAGAGGGCAGCACACGAATCCACCAACCCAAGACAAAACCGCCGTTTAAATTATGATATCCTAAAAAGAAAAATTAGCACACCAATGTAACACACGGCTAAGCGAGTCCTTCATGCATCATCGGTCATCGTACCATGCCGTACACACGCACGGCGGCATTAGGTTGGGCGACGGTATCAGATACCAGGACCCAGGGCCCTGTCTACCGATGCGATGAGGAAAAGCCGACGGACGGACTACAGGGCCTGTGAGGAGGGCAGTGCCAAAGCCGAATAACGCGACCCTCTGCTCGCTGCAGACTGTTAGCTGTTAGCTGCAGGCCAAGTCCCTGGACGAACTAGGCGGCTCGTGGGCAACATATCTGGAGCGAGATACACCAGCACAGCGTGTATTTCTGACACCTCTGTATTTTCGACATACATGACCCACCACACACAACGTTATGAGAGGCAAATTAAAGGGTCGTTGATTTTGCGTTGTGAGGACATTAATGAAAAGACCGCCCAAAGGGATTTAGAACGGATTTAGGAACCAGCAGTGCGCGCGCCCCCTGCAGCCCCCCCTGCAGCTGATCTGTCAGCAGCCGCAACAGCAGTAGCAGTAGTAGCGGCAAAAGCAGTAGTAGCGGCCTTCCAGCTTGCTCTACAACAAACTGGACAGCTCCAAAACAGCAAACAGCGACATACACACGTACGTACACAACGAGAATGGAGAGCTTTAAGACGCGGTTGGTCATATGCACCGTTTCACGGATCGTAGGACCACCAGTGCAGAGCAGCACTCAATTATTGCGTATAGCCTGAGCAGCCGTGACGACATATACATACTTACAACATCCTAGACGCACATACATACATACATAGACACACACATACACACGCGCATGTTACCAAGGGTATTGCCCGGCCCACCGTAGTGCATCAGCGCACGACCCAGACGGCACACGCAGTGGCAAGGAAGTGTTTAGCAGGAGGTGTAAAGCAGCTGCCGGGCAGCCGCACTGGGAAGAGCAACCGCGGCCACAGCGACAGTGGCAGCGAAAACAACCAAACATAACGGGCCAAAAACCATGCGACACTTTTTTTAGAAGTTTATATCAATAAGCAGTAGCAGCAGCAGCAGTAGCAGCAGCAGCAGCTGTAGCAGCAGCAGGTCCTGCAACACTTAGTGCAAGTATCTGTCACAGCAGCAAGAGAGAGGGGGTTCATATCATCTGCCCATTGGGGCCGCATCCCACTACCCAAAAACAATACACCTCAGCACCCGTCTCTTTTTGCCATCATGCCTCCATCCCGCGATCATCATCATCATCATCATCATCATCATCTTTTTCTACATCATCATCATCATCATCATCATCATCATCATCATCACCACCATCATCATCACCACCATCACCATCACCCTGTTGAAACCGCACGGTGGGCTTGTCACACACAGCTTCCTATATATACATACCATACATACATACATATAGGGGACACATCACTGCACATTACTTCCTCCGTCAGCCCAATCGCCACCACCACCAGGGTAAAGGGGGATGCTACAAAGTGCGGAGGAAACAGTCCTGTTGGGGCCAAACCCCCACTGCTGCTTTACTTTATGCCCCCTCCCCTCTCCCCCCCCTTTGGGCCGTCGTACGGCGCCATATTAGGAATCGCACACACGCCATTCCGTCGGCGTCGCCGTCATCGTGCTGCACCGTGGCAGCAGTAGCAGTAGCAATGGCAGTAAATACCAGGGGAGACAGCAATTTCCGTTTCCACGGCGGCGCCAGCTACTCAGGTTTTTGTTGAATGGCGGACGTGCACGTGCATCTGTCACGATGCCGGTGAAGCATGAAGCAGAAATGAAGTCAGTCCCGTTCACAACACCGACACCGACAACAAAGACAGTATCTCACTCATAGCTCCCAAACATAAAACACAAAATACACACACATACATACATACATACATACATACATACATACATACATACATACATACATACATACATACATACATACATACATACATACATACATACATACATACATACATACATACATAACGGCATACATAACGGCAGGCGGCTGGCAGAGGTTAAGGCCTGACTTCTGCTCCCAGTTGACCCAGTCGACCCGGGTTCAAATCCGCCTGCCGGCTCCTCGGGTGTTTGAGGAGTGATGAAATGGGAGGTGGCCCCCCATCTTATGGACGGTGTAGGACGTGATAATATCAACTTGCGAGCTGACCAGGAACTAAGTTGATGCGCCGTTGATCCGCTAGATTTGGTTGGATGCTGGTGGTGAGTTGCCGAACTCAACGAATACATTCTGAAGTCGGATGGGGTGACGGATTAGGGTGCCCCTCTAGCAGGGGAGAGCAGGGACTGCCCCGGGAAAGGGGGCCGCTGGCGAAGTTAACCACCCTGTAACAACATACATACATACATACATACATACATACATACATACATACATACATACATACATACACACGCACACAAAAACATAACACGGTGTTGGTGTCGGTGTGATGCTGGTATGAGGGTACTCGGGTATTATATCGTTACCGGTACCAGAGGCACAACGTGCCCCTTGCGAGGGCCGGTGAGGTGGTGCTGTCACCTCAGCACAGGGAGCGAAACCGGACAGCGCAGTTCAGTAAAAAGCAGAGTTCCACAGTGCGGCAAAACCCCCCAACCCACCCCACCCCACCCACCTCCCCCACCCGGCACACACGGGGTTTACGTGCGAGAATAACAGCCATTGTCTGTTTTTGGAATGTCTGTCAAAAGAGAAAAAATGCTCCAAGACACATCATGCCCCCCACTTCCCCCTTCATGCATCATTTGCGGGATGCCCGCCGCAGAAACCCGGTCCCCGCCTCTTCGCAACCTTTTTGGACATCCCCCCTCCAAACACACGTGATCTCAGTGATACGCCTAGAAGCCGTCACACCAGGCTCTGTCTGTCTTACCAAGCGCAACATTAGGACCATCCCTCCTCCTCCCCTTCCACCTCGGGAAGCCGCCCAACTGGAAAAACACCTAACTGCCAGCCACAAACGGTTGCTACATGTGACTATTTGTAGCACGAGCACATCGAGACAAAATACGCAAACTCCAAAAGGCGCAACACAAACCGCACGCACACAAAAACAACAACAACAATCCATTCACTACGAATCCACTAATCTTAAACGTCCCAATGGGCAGCAGCAGCACTCTAAAACACACCACCACAACAACAACATTACACAAGTGTGGGATAAATCTTGGGATTTAATGCTAGTATTGGCGAAATGTGCGGAAAGAGTGAGTGTGGCGAGGCTGCTAATCAGCCAGCGAGGCGGGGGCTGCAGAGCCCTCGAACCGGCCGGACAAGAGCAAAACCCATAAAGAACACGAACCCTAAAACGAGAAAGCGAACGCTGTGTGCCGCATTACGCGCCCTTCCCGGGGCCCACCAGCCCTCACACACGTGCAGACGCGCACCTGGCGCTCCTACAGCGCCAAAACAGAACACGAAAACAAGTCAAAAGAATCCTATAGGTGTCTAGGGGGCTTTTCCTTTCCAGAAAGAGCACACACGAGTCGAACACGGCGCCTGAACTTCTGTTCAAAGAGAACCTGCGGTCAGGCAGACCCCCAAATCGGCAAGAGGCAGCCAGACCAGTACATCCAACACCACGCACAATGGAGAGGCGCGCACGCTCTAGGACGTGCGTGCCTACATACGTACATACACACATACATGCATGCATGCAAGTGCATCGCAAAGCGCGCGTGCGCGCAAACAAACACACACACACAATACACAACCGCACAGGCACAAGCACCCAATAACCCCGACACGAGGGGATGTACTGCCCAAGCCAGCATGCATACCCACCACCACCACCACCACCACCACCGCATGCTTCATAAACAGAAGACGTTGAGCGTCCCAACTACCAACGGTTTGCACTGAAAAGCGTCGAATGCCGTACACTCCGTACGGGTCGTACATACCCACGCCACGTCGACCTAAGCTCAGATTGGAGCCGAAAAAAGACCAGCAATGGTCATTTCAGGTCGCTGCATCGGAAGTATATATATACATGGAAATGGATTTGCATCAGATCCGAATCCGAATCCGAATCCGAATCAGATCAGGCTAGTTATCCCGTGGGGGACTTGAGCAGTTCATATTGATATATTGCAACCCTCGTCGGCTACGTGTGAGCGGACAAGGCGGCCTGCACTGAAGGGCGCTCTTTCCCTCCCCCCCCACACACAACGCCCATCACGTCGGCCTCTTCTCCTTCCTTCTACACAGCTACACAGTACGTGTCTTGGAAAAAATGAGCTCTTCCTGTCACCAGTTGGGTGGGTGGGTGTGTGGGTGAAATTAATGTGCAGGGCGGCAACGCCGCGTGTTGCTGCATGACGGCACGAGCAGACCAGACACGGCCCAGACTGTAAAGCTGCGTTGGCGTACGACAAATCGTGTGAACGGTAGCCGTACGAGAGGCTTTGCAAACGGGCCAGCAGCTGCAGACAGAGATGGCAGACAGACAGACAGACAGACAGATAGACAGACGAATTGATGACAGCCCCTCTCCCATAGCCACAAAACACAATCCGATCCGTAACCCTTTGCGAATTTCAACCCTTAGCGGAACCCAGATCGGGAGCCCCTTCACGGGTGGCTGTCCGGGGTGCCCCAAAGAAAACAAAGAAAGACAAAAGGAACTAACCGGAAAGCGACTAACGACGAATTGCATGGCTGCCGTCGCAGCGTCATTCATGCAAAGAGTTTTGCATGTGCACACGCGCACGCGCGCGTGCGTGTGTGTGTGTGTGTGTGTGTGTGTGTGTGTGTGTGTGTGTGTGTGTGTTGTGAGTGGCAGGGTGTGATGATGGGTGGGCGGTGTGATGGGGTGTGATGATAGGTGGGCGCGTGGGCGCGTGGAGGAAGAGGTACAGGAAGCATCGCGTTAAGTGCCAAATGCCAAATGCCAAATAACATCTTTTATATGTCAAAACACATAGCGAGTGTGAGTGCGAGTGCGAGCGCGAGTGTGAGTGTGAGTGTGTGTGTGTCTGTGTGTGAGTGTGAGTGTGAGGAGAGAGCGGCAATGTATCCCCAAAGTGATGCACTGGGGGAGAAACCTAATGTGTCGTACAATACGGCATTAATAAGCATTCCGTACGCGCTTAATGGTGGTCTACAGCGCCTTCGCAGCGCAGCCTTATCCCCCCTCCCCCCTCGCGCTCTCAACCCCCCAAAACCCCGCGCGCCCTCGACGGGGGGTGTTGGTAGGGGGTTGCAAAACGCTCCGCGTACTGGACGACGCATACCGTTATAAACCGACGCACGCCGGCATCCCCCCTTCCAGACTACAAGCGGAAATCTATCTATCTGTCTTCCAGGGTTTTTTCAAATCCACAAACCGCAAAACCCACAACAACCCATCAGGAACAATCATCAATGCTCCATCAACTACCAACCGTCGAAACCGTAACGGCATTTCCGCAACATCTAATCGTATCATCATCATCATCATCATCATCATCATCATCATCATCATCATCATCACCATTCTACTCATTTACGTGCAGCAGCGCACGTTCGTAACGCACACACACATACACAGACACGGACATACACAGACACGGACATACACACGGACATGCACACAGACATGCACACATGCAACACTCCCAGGACACCGGCTCTACCTCCACCTATTTGGTGGTGGAATTGTGCTGCGGGGGCCCTACGGGTTCTCCTTGGCAGGCACGGGGGAGTAGGACCCCCCCGGGGGGGAGCTGAACGGGGACGTATCCGCCAAATTTGCCCCATTGGCGCTGTCCCCAGTAGCGCAGCTTGAAAGCCGCGACGGCTGCCGTACAAGGAGATCCGGCTGCGCGGTGACGCTGCTGTAGCTGCCGGCGGCAGCAGTCGGGGGAATACCTCCCGCCAGGCTGATGGACGAGCATAAATGTCCGCCGCCGCTGCTTCCCGTACTCTGCACGCCGGTGCTGAAGCCACCCGGCAACAGCTGCCAACAGCTGCCGCTGCCACTGGGGCGCCCGCCTTCCGCCGCCAGCATGACTGCCGTACCCTCCCCGCTACGTACGGAACTGCCCGTACGCCGCAGGGCACGAGGACCGCCGCTACCGACAGTAACGCCAACAGGGAAAATCCCGCCGCCGGTAGCGCCGCTCCGAAGTAAAGGCTTGCTAGCACTGTTGCTACTGCTGGCACGGAGGAGAAGGCTACCGCCGGCACTTGCGGTGGCTGTGGCCGCAGCCACCGTCGTGAGAATCGTGGCGGGACCGTCAGTTCGTCGTCTTGCTTGCGTCCTTGCATTCACGGGACGCTGCTCCGCATCATCGCAGCCGGCTATGACACCCAGACCCAATTCCGGACCCAAGCGGCCCATAGCGCTGAAACGCAATTCTGCCGGGCTGCCGACGCGCGCGCCCGCTCCGTAACTCTGCCGTACGAGACCGCCGCCGCTGCCTGTGGCAGAGTGCGTGTGCCATAAAGAAAGGGACACGGCGCTAGAGCCGGGGCTGCCGTACAAGGCATCCGACCCTCCCCCCAGGGAACCACAAGCGGGGTAACGATGCTCCGAAACCGGTCCATGCCCGTGAACGGGGTTGGCGGCGGCGGCGGCGGCGAACTCCAGCGGCGGCACCGGCGGCTGAGTTTGGAATTTACCATCGGCAACGGCAACGATGGCGTTTCCATTTTCGTTACCCGTGTTGGGGTCGGCCTCATCCACGGCGACGGCGGCAGCGGCAGCAGCGGCGGCGGCGGCGGCGCCGCCGCCACCTCCCACCAAATCGGTATTGCCATCACCGTCGCCGCCGCTGCTGCAGCCGTTACAACTGCCGTTGCTATCCTCGCTGCGGCAGCTTTGGCTGCTGCTGCTCGGTGTCGACCGTTCGCTTCGGTCGCTGCCGAAAGCGACGCTGCCGTTGTTACCGTTGTTACAGTCCTTGCAAATGAGGCGGTTGGCGGTTGCGACGGTCGCATGCAACGACTGCCCATTCGCCGTCGCCATCCTTACCGTTGTATCACAACGGTAACTCGCAGCAACACACCCGCAGCCGCCGCCTGCCGCCATGCCGGCGGCGGCGGTAGCGGCGGGCCGGCCAACACACATACAGGTGTCACCACCGTCATAGACGCGGGCCCTGGACCCCCCCAGCGCCTCTTGATGCTCGTACTCTTGCAGTTTCTGGTCGCCGTACTGGCCAGGGTAGCTTCCACTTCCGTCGGCAACGTAAGTGCCGCCAGCCCCTAGCGCTCTTCCCCCCTCACCCAGGTTAAGCCGCCGTTTAGGCGGTAGGCCCCCAGGCCCCTCAGGTACAGGTAACCCCGCCTCAGGCCCCGCAGGAACGTAGCTGTCCTGCTGGCGACCCGTGGGTCGGTCGGAACGGATCGCCAGCGCAAGCGCCGTCGGAGGCGGCGGCTCCTTGGAATTGCCTCCGACGACGACGACGGAGCAGCCGCCGCCGTATTGCTGCTTTTCATAATGGCGAGGATCGATATCGTGGGGTTGCGGGTTATGGGAGCTGTCGTATTGGGGACTGCGCCGCCGTGTCGGCGGCGGTTCCCAGCTTGCCGCCGGGAAGGCGCCGCCGCCGCTGATGACGGCCCCGCTGGAGCTGTCGTACAGCAGAGCGCTGCTGCTGATGTTGCCGCTTCCACCGCTGCCACCGCCGCCGTCAGCTGCGGCGACAGCTGCGGATGTAATGTTGGCTGTAGCGCTGTTCAATCCGACCTTTTTCGTCCTTCCACCGTCATCCCCGCCGCCGCCGCCGCTACTGCCACTGCCACTGCCACTGCCACTGACGCCGCTAATTGTCTCTCGCTCCTCTTCCGCCGCCGCCGCCGCCGCCGTCACCGTCACCGCCGTTGCCGCCATCGCCTCGCCGTTGCTGCGTAAACTCCACCGCGAATGCTGTTGTTGCTGCTGCTGGATATGCTGCTGCTGCAGCTGATAAGCAAGGAATACATTGGGATGCTGTTGCCGTACTTGCGGGCTCCGTACGTCACCTTGGTGTGTACGTCCCGTGGGGCTTGCCAGGTTGGCGGGGTGTCCCAACGCCGAGTGTCGACCCCCGGGGGTAGGGGAAGTCAACCCGCCTGAGAAACGTGAGAGGCGAGAGGGGGAGCTAGGGTGCGTGGGGCCCGCAGGGCATGGCGCCGGAGCTGCCACCTGCGCCGCAGTGGCGGCGGCGGCGGCGGAGCTCCCAGTGGCTCCCAGCGCCAACGACGGTACGACAGCGCTGCCGGCTGACTCGCGGGTACTACGAGCGGAAAAGCTGCGATGGCTGGCGGCGGCAGCGGCGATGCCGCCGCTGCCGCTACCGCTGCCTATGGCAAGGCCGCTGCTGCCGCTAGCTAAGACATGGCCGCCGCCGCCGCTGCTGCTGCTGCCTGCAGCGACGCTGCGCGTCGCAGCCGCACTACAGCTGTTCGGCCGCTGCGGGGCTTCAGCGGGGAACAACAAGTTGCGAGCACCAGCACCGCGCTGGGGAGCCGCCAACCCGTCAGGGAAGTCGGCGGCGGCGCGGGGCCCGTTCCGGAACGCCGCCGCCGCGCAGGCAGACGGCAGCGTTGACGTCGTCGTCGCTTCGCGCCAAGCTGATGGGCCACTGCTGTAGCAACCGCCGACGCCGACGGCGCCATTGCGACATGGGGAAACCATCGCCAAGTCCGCCGCCGATTCCCGCGCGTGTTCCGTTGCCAAAGCCCAAGCGGGCAAGTGAGCTGCCGGGACACAGGCGGCCGTAGCGACGACGCCGCAGCTACAGCAATTTCCGCCTCCGCCATAGCCGCTACAGCCGCTCCCCGTGCCCCTAGCGGAGGCGGCCCTCTGGCCCAGCATGCCCAAGCCCTCGACGGAATCCGGATCGCCGTCCAAATGGGAAATCCTGTACGCGTCCATTGTACGGATGTACGAAAAAACAAACGTTTCTCAGTAGACAGAAGAGAAAAAGAGACTCAAATATGTTTTTAAACGGGGCCCAGGGCATCGACAGAACCTTTCGGGCGCCGTACAAATCCGTACAAGTACGTGTTTTGATACGAAGGAAAATAGAAACCCGAAACCCCAAAACCCGAAACACAGAAACCCCGAAAACAAGCTCTGGAACGGGAGGGGGACGTCATCATACCTCCTTGTTGACGTGGACCTGGACCTGGCCGTGACCCCCCTGGAGCCCCGCTGAGAGCAACCCCTTTTGTGCCCTTGAGCCGCCAGGGGCCCCGTCTCCGCCTGCAAGCCACAGCGGCACCCCATCCCTGAACCGTGAGCTGCCATGCCTGCCCCTGTTGCTGTTGCTGATGATGATGCTGATGATGATGACCCTCCTCCTCCTCCTGGCAATGCTTCCGCTGCGGTGGCGGCGGCGGCGGTGGCGGCGGCGGCGGCAGCGATGTTGTCGCCGTAAGGGGCGTCCTGGCCGCTATTGCTGCGTACGGAAATCGAGGCACCCGTACCGCTGCCCCTGCGGCGGGTCCTATGATACAGGAGTGGGCTGGTGCACATCTCGCCAGAGGTCACGGCGCCGTCGCCGCCGCCGCCGCCGCCGGACATCCGCGCCGACGCCTCCGCCGCAATCGCCGTTACCGCCAGCGGCGACGGCACCAGCGGCGACGGCGCGTTCGGCACCAGGAGGCCGGAGCGGCCTGAAGCGGCCGCCGCCAGTACAGACGGCGGTATGCCCGCCGCCGCCGCCGCCGCCGCCGCCGCAAGCTGCTGCCTCGCGCTACGTGACGACGCCAGTACGACATCATCCGACTCCAAGAGTTCTTGGTAATCCTCGGCAGTGTATGCTCCGAAACACTCGGCAAACAGATTGAGGCCCTTACGGTGGGGCGCATGACCCATGTCGGCCAGTAGCTGTCGGCGAAAGCAAAGTACGGCACAGTACGGCACGGTACGGGATATCCATGTCAAATTGAAGACCGCGGTTTATTTACAAGCTACCCGGAGAGCGTTGTGCAAAACGCAGCTGGCAACCCTCCCTTGCCGTATTCGGGTATTACCACCCCCCTGTCGTACCTGATCATGGTACTGCATCATGTACAACATCAGTACGGAGCCGCGGCTGCGTTGCGCCGGCATCACCGCCCGCCGCCAGCGCTGTTGCGCCCGCACGTCTTCCGCCATACTGACTGGGGTGGGCAGTGGTACGCGGCCCGAGAGCACGTGTGCGAGCCACAAGGCTTGAAGGCCGTGTGTGAGGATGTTGTTGTAGGTGCTCACCTGCGGGATACGAGAATACGAGATGAACGATAACGATGAAATTAAAAGTAGGAAGAGTATGTCTGTATGTGTCTGTCTATCTGTCTGTCTGCCTGTAGAATGTCTGCCTGTAATATGTCTGTCTGCCTGTCTGTCTGTAATATGTATGTCTGTATGCGCCCACTCACGTGTGTGTGTGTCTATTTCTCTATTCCACCTCAACCTCAAGCGGGTAAACGCACCTCACTGCCGATAAACGCAAGATGCGGTACGGCGTACGGCAGGCAGTTGCGGTACAGGTACAAACCATCCTTCTGCAGGTCCAGCCGAGCACGCATATCGCCCTCCAAATAGTCGTACGTCTTGAGGTAGCCGGTGCAGTACAACACCAGATCCGCCGCCACAAAGCTACCATCCTAAAAAGCCAAACATGTTTTTGTTATTTTTTTGTTAAATTAAGCAACAATGATATCTTTTAGTAATATCGCTCACTCCATCGGTTTCTTAAACACACCCCAACAAACGTCTTTCCATTACTTTACATGACCAACGGAGCTTCGGTAGTTTACGCATACCATCAAGCTTATCTCCGTTAGTTAGTTAGTTAGTCAGTTGATGATATGAAGCCACACATACACACGTTAGTCACCTCCCCCCTGGAGGCTGTGAGGCCTCTGTAGGGTGTGGGCCTAATCACTACTACACCCCCCACACACACACTCCCTCCCTCCCCCCCCCCACCCCC